CAAACTACTTACTGTATGTGGTTTCATTTAGTAATGACTTAAAATGAAGATGTAACCTATTTTACTGAACAAGCAGCTTGGTAATCAAAGTGAGGGAATTTTTACCACTTGATTTTTTTTTCTGTATTGTCTCCTTAGCCTGTGACTATGTTTGTATATGCAAGAGCATATCTATGTATGTATGTATCTGTCAGTGAAGTACTTAACTATCCAGACTAACTATACCCGCTTCTCATTTACCGACACAGGTAAGGTTCCAAAGACCAGGCTGTTTTGCGAAAATCATAGTTATGCAAAAATGGAGGATGACCACATCAGATCACAAAATGGAGGGTGACTTCATCATTACACAACCGTCAAATCTCATCATTACATAACTGCCAAATTACATCATTTCATACCTGCCAAACCACTGAGAATCATGGCCTAGTCAGGTTGACGCATATCCTTCACCATCACAGCCAGCATTACTCTCACCACGCACCTTGGTGTTCATTACCTTGGTGTTCATTACTGCCAGACATACATCATTAATGCACAAAATAGTCGGATAGTAGAGTTTTTATTATTGTCGTAAATGTGAAACATAGGATAACAAGGTAGTCAATAAGTGAGGAATAGATGTAGTGTTCATAACCACTAACTGTTGTTGTCAGAGCTTGAGTCCAAGATCTAGAATGATAGACTCTTAGACATTAATTTTCAGTTTTGCCACCTACTGATTGGGTCAGTTGTTTTCCATTCCATTAGCATGATAGTCACTTTGTGAGTCATTCTAAAATTTCAGTTACCAGTGCATATAGCATTGACTTTTGTTTGAAGGGCAAGCTGAGTCATTAGTGTGAAGCTACATATGAGGTTGAGTTTGAATGTGAGGCATACTTAATCCAGGGTGTAAAAAAAAAATTAACCTATGCATATGTAGAGGATACACAGACCAAAAGAATAGACTTGACAAAGACTTTGGCCTTAGAGACCATTAGCATAACTAGGTATTAGCTAGACTTTATAAAGATATGAAAAGGAAAGAGCGAAGTTTAAATATTTAGCTGGCTTTGAGTAAGTGTTGGCAGTAGGTCAAAATAGGGTTTCAGAGCAAATCTGAATTGTAGCTTTCTGCACTGTAACCTAAGAACATATGAAATGCTGGTAGAAATGATGATGATTTTGCCTGAAAGCAGGAATTGAGTGTTTATGGTAACAGTGATCAGATTGCCACCTTTTTCCACATCTACCCATTTTGTGGGAATACTTACAGGAAGATAAAAGAGGGGGCATAGCAAAAGGGTAGTGGCAAGATCTTACCCCATCTAAGATGTCAGTTCTGCCAGTTAGGGATCTATTGCCAACTATATTGCTGGAAATTTTGTATATTACCAACTACCCTTGTGACTTTAGACCATTTCCACTAGGCAAGATGGACGTATTCGACAAATATTTAAGTGCCTACTGTATACCTACAATTTTCTAGATACTGGTAAGTAAGATAGAGAAGGTTTCTGCCCTCAGTAGAGTTTAAAATAGGATACTAGACAATACTGGAGAAGGCAGGTGACTAAATAAATTCTGATAACATAATAAAGTATTTGGGAGGGAATATAGAAGGTGCTGTTGGATCCTAGCTAGTGGAGTGAGCGGTCAAGGAGGCATTCTGGTAGAAGTGAAGTTAAAGAGAATTGGGGAGACACCTAAGGATGAGTGGGATTTAACCAGGTGAAGAGGAGGGCAAGAATCAGAAAGGAACAGTATGTAAAAGTCTGGAGGCAGGAGAGAGCATGATGGCGTTAAAGAGAAAGTGAAAGGAAATGGGTGTTGCTGAAGGACAGAATATGAGGCAATATAGATGGCTAGAAGTTTCACCTTGGTTTTCAGGTACTATGAAATGTCTGATAACTCTTGTTTCTGTTCTCCCATCAACTATTCTTATTCTGAGTCTCAGGAAAACAGAGCACATAAAGGACCATTAATCTGAATAAGCAACAGGGAAGAGACTATCCCATCCCTGTCGGTCATTTCCCTGAGTTATTCTCGCACACACCCCAATCTGATTCTCATTATTAAAAATTTGAGGACTACCAAGTCCATTCTAACATTAACATAAAGTGCTAATATTGTGTTAATTATTTAACATAAACCAAAGATTTAAAAAAGACGTGCTCTTAAAACATGAATTCACTATAACTTGAGTTGTAGTGGTCCAGATTACAATTAATTGTAAATGTGGTGAAGTAAAGATTTCTGGGATAGGGATTTTTACATATTTTAGTTTACAGTGTGTTAGACTAATACAAAATAGCCATTAAAGCTTCTCACTCTGCCTAAGATTAGGGAGAAATTTTTTGGTTAAGTAGAATACTAGTTAGCGTGTACTAGAAGTCCAGTGTCTATTTAAAAAAATTAGTGGGGAGATCCGAAGGTGGACGATCTCTAAAGGACTGAAAATACTGCACTCCCCAATGCCCCCATCCCAACGCAGCAACGTTAGGTTACTTGCCTAAATCAGTGTCTACTGGAAGATAGGTGTAAAATTAATGAAAACAAGTGGGCCAACTTTCAGATTTGCAAGAGACAGACTGACCTATGTGGATGATTTAGTCATGTCTTGTGACCTTTTAAAACAACACAAATAGTGAATTAAAGCCATGTTACTTTTTCTTTTTTGGTCTTTTTTTTTTTTTTTTTATTGTTGAGAATACACACAGAAAAACGTAACACCAATTCAACGGTTTATACATGTACCATTCAGTGACATTGATTATATTCTTAAGAGTTGTGGAACCATTCTCACCCTCCTTTTCTGAGCTGTTCCTCCTCCATTAACATAAATTCATTGCCCCCTCAGGTTCCTGTCTAATCTTTCAAGTTGCTGTTGTCAATTTGATCCCATATAGATATTTCTTAATAATAGCATAACGCTAAAGCAGACATTTTTTACTAATTAAGCTGGACTACTGTTTGGTTTTAAGAAGAGTTTAGGGGATATTTTTGGTTTCATGATTATCTCAGGGCAGTAGTTTCAGGGGTTCATCCAGTCTTCATGGCTCTGTAAAGTCTAGAGTCCATGAGAATTTGAAATTCTGCATTTTCCCTTTTGGTCAGAATTCTTCTATAGACTCTTTGATCAAAATGTTCAGTAATGGTAGCTGGGCACCATCCAGTTCTTCTGGTCTCATGGTAAAAGAGGTGGTTGTTCATGGAGGCAGTTAGCTGCACAATCCATATCCTCCTCCAATTCCTGACTCTCCTTCTTTCTTTGTTGGCTCCAGGTGAACAGAGACCAATTACGCCTTGGGTGGCTGCTTGCAAACTTAAAACCACAGGCACTGCACAATGCCATGTTACTTTTTTTGCAACCATATCTAAAAGGGAGATGTTACCTCTCATTGCTTGCCCAATTGTTCAGGTAGACTGAATTCGGCCCACAGATGTTTTCCCAGTCTTTTTTTATATTTTCTACCAAGTAGGAAACTGTAAGTTCCAGGAAAATGGCATTTTTCAGGTATTAGTTCTTGTGATGATATTGACCTATGTATTCTGGGTTGTTTTAATTATAAACTTTACTTAGAACAACAAAGTCTGTAGCCTGAGAAGACTATACATTTTATATCACATTTATTGGTTATGAATATCGGAGAAAAGATCTTCCTTTGTGATGTGACTTTGAGATCTACAGACAGCTATTTAGATTTCCAATGATTAGGGTAGAGATAGGAGGACAGAGTTGGTAAATATGATGGGGGATATAAAAAATTAAAAGAGATTATGGTAGAGTAATATTAAAGTATTTGCCTGTTGCTATTACAGCTTTCCTAGTTTTTTTAAGATTGCCCCCAGTTCCCTGTTGAGAAAAGAAAGAGAACTTTTCTTCTTCCCAGCTTCCCTTCCCTTTTCAGTGAAAAGTAGAGTTAAGGCATAGCACATCAGTGAATAGGCTCACTCAGCTGATGATTTTGTAACCTGCTTTAAACTTCTTTTCAAACCATTTTGTTCTGAAATGGAGAACATATAATCATAGTCCTATCTTTGTTAGCTTTCTAACCTATGCATGTATTAACCCTAAAGCTTCTGGCTTTCATCATTTCAGTTAAAAATTTCAAATTTCTCTACAGTCTCTTCCAAATACCATATTTTTTGCTTAAAAAATCGTGGTGGGGGGTTAGGTACTATGAGCTAGTAGTTACTGGAATTTTTGTGTCAGTCCTATTCAACGAATTTGTAATTATTTGAACAGTGGGATTCCTTGTTCTGAGAATCCTGGGCACATGATAGATATTTGGTTAAGCACTGTTTGGTTGCTTGATTTGGTTGCTCTTGAATTATTGAAAAATCACTTAGACTGAGGTTCTTAACCTGGGATTAAGGAAATCCCTGAAACTCTGAACTGGAAGGAAAATTTTGTACCTAAATTTGCATGTATATGCATTTTTCTAAGAGAAGAGTGTTCTTAGCTTTCATCAGATTTTCAAAGGGTCCCTGGCCCAAAGTAGATTAAAAATCTTTGCTTTAATTTTGTAGTGAATTAGTAGAATTTTCTAGGTTGGATGTCACTTTATAGTTCATTACTTGCATTACTGGTGAGCACATAGAATTCAAGCTCTGATCATCCAGCACAACAGCAGTAATCTGATTATTTGTCAGATTTCCTTGACAAAAAGCAGTGCTATATGGTGTAACCAAGGAGATATTGCTGGTTAGAGTTTTCTTCCATACGAATGATAGTTTCAACTTATTTGAGGCAAAAATTCAGTGTTGTTAATCATAATCATACTTTCTCTAGTTCCTTAGAGATTATATGCTATTTAAGTTTTCCAAACCACTGGAATAATAAGTATGGTACTTGTTGCTCTAGAATCTTACTAAATTTACCATCAGTTGAACCTTTTGATAAAGTTATATAATCTTTTCGTGGGTAATACTTCTGTTATTTCATTTATAGCATTTCAGGTAAGCTGATAACCTAGAATTATATGCTATAGCTTTGATTCTGTTTTTGTTTTCAGAACTCTTCATCTTGGCTCATACCTATCCTGCCTGATATGCTGCGACACATTTTTCAGTTTTGTGTTTTAGAAAGCAGCCAGGAAATTCTGGACCTCATTCACAAGGTACACAGTAAAGATAACTATCCTGTACTCCTTTTCCTAGTAACTTTGTAGATTTTTAAAAGATAATTTTCATAATTGCTATACTGTTGGTGAGGAGTTTCAAGAAATTAGAAATCACTCAAGATGAGACAAGAAAAAGGGTTCTTATGGAATGTAATGTTTAAGTCCTGATTTGCCATATTTCTGTCTCCTTTTACTGTGTGATCTACGAGGAAAGTGTTTTAAGTAATTTCTGATAGCCTCAATACAAAAAATAAAATGGAAACTATTATTCTTCATCACTTATTTTGCTATTTATCAGTATGCTTATTTATCCTGCAGACTATCTCTTGGTAATATATGGAGTCTGATTGTCATAGTTTAGACTTGTACTTTTTTTCTTTACTTAGCAAGATTGGCCATGATGTGTTGGAATCTTAAAGAAAGACCCATTTGATATATTTAATGGCATTTATGGGGAAACGGCAAAGTTGTACCTTTAGAATCTGTTAAGTTAGTCTTGAATTGTTGGCCTCTGAGGTGACTCCTGGTTAATAAACTTAGATTAACAGTGGTGGTATTTCTACATGCTGGTCATAGCCCATTTAACGTTCAGCATCAGGAAAGTTACCTTACTGAGTAAGATCATGAATGAAAACTTAACACTGTTCTTAATTTATGCTAGGGTATTTCTACCTCTAAATTTAGCAGAGGATACTTATCAGGAGCTATTGTATCTTTTTTATTTTATTTTTTACTGTGCTTTAGGTGAAAGTTTACGGCTCAAGTTAGTTTCTCATGCAAAAATTTATACACGCATTGTTATGTGACCCTAGTTGCTATCCCTATAACGTGACCGCACATTCCTCCTTTCCCCAGATTTCCCGTGTCCATTCAACCAGCTTCTATCCCTTTCTGTCTTCTCATCTTGCCTTCGGACAGGAGCTGTGCACTTAGTCTTGCGTATCTACTTGAACTAAGAAGCACATTCTTCACCAAGTATCATTTTATGTCCCATAGTCCAGTCTAATCTTTGTCTGAAGAATTGGCTTCGGGAATGGTTTTAGTTTTGGGTTAACAGAGAGTCTGGGGGGCCATGTATTCTGGGGTTCCTGTAGTCTCAGACCATTAAGTTTGGTCTTTTTACTAGAATTTGAGTTCTGCACCCCACTTTTCTCCATCAGGGACTCTCGGTTGTCTTCTCCGTCAGGGTGGTCATTGGTGGCAGCTGGGCACCATCTAGTTCTTCTGGTCTCAGGCTGATGGAATCTCTGGTTTATGTGGCCCCTTTCTGTCTCTTGGGCCAATACTTTCCTTGTGTCTTTGGTGTTCTTCATTCTTCTTTGCTCCAGGTGGGGTGGGACCAATTGATGCATCTTAGATGGCCGCTCGCAAGCTTTTAAGACCTCAGACGCAGAACATTTTCCTAATAAACTTTGTTATGCCAGTTGACCTAGATGTCCCCTAAAACCGTGGTCCCCAGACCCCCAGCCCTGCTACACTGTCCCTAGAAGTGTTTGGTTGTGTTCAGGAAACTTCTTAGCTTTAGGTTTCGTCCAGTGGTGCTGACTTCCCCTGTATTTTGTGTTGTCCTTCCCTTCACCTAAGATAATTCTTGTCTAGTTATCTAGTTAATGAATTTCCTTGTCCCTCCCTCCCCACCCTCGTAACCATCAAAGAATGTTTTCTTCTGTGTTTAAACCTTTTCTTGAGTTCGTATAATAGTTGTCTCATACAATATTTGTCCTCTTTTGACTGACTGATTTCACTCAGCATAATGCTTTCTAGATTCATCCATGTTATGAGATATTTCATGGACTTGTTGTTGTTTATCGTTGCATAGTATTCCATTGTGAATGTACGATAATTTATCCATTGATCCGTTGATGGGCACTTAGGTTGTTTCCATCTTTTTGCTATTGTGAACAGTGCCGCAGTGAACATGGATGTGCATGTATCTATTTGTGTGACAGCTGTTATTTTTCTAGGATATATTCCAAGGAGTGAGATTGCTGTATCATATGATACTTCTGTTTCTAGCTTTTTAAGGAAGCATCAAATCAATTTCCAAAGTGATTGTACTATTTTACATTTCCACCAGCAGTGTATAAGTGTTCAGTCTCTCCACAACCTCCCCAACATTTATTATTTTGTGTTTTTTGGATTAGTGCTAGCCTTGTTTGGGTGAGATGGTATCTCATTGTAGTTTTGATTTGCATTTGTCTAATGGTAATGATTGTGAGCATTTCCTCATATATCTGTTAGCCGCCTGAATGTCTTCTTTAGTGAAGTGCCTGTTCATATCCTTTGCTCATTTTTTAATTGGGTTACTTATCTTTTTGTGGTTGAAATTTTGTAGTATTTTGAAGATTTGGAGATTAGACCCTGATCGGATATCTTGTAGCCAAAAATTTTTTCCCAGTTTGTAGGTTGTCTTTTTACTCTTTTGGTGAAGTCTTTTGATGAGCATAAGTGTTTGATTTTAGGAGCTCCCCGCTACCTAGTTTCTTTTCTGGTGTTTGTGTGTTATTAGTTACATTTTGAGGAGCTATTACATCTTGAAATGTGTGTTGAATATAGGACAGCTTTTATATTGAGCTTTATGATATATGGAAAGGATTTCAGTTTCTTATTGAGATTTGAAACTCCAAATTATTTTTATAGGCATATTTCATTTTAAATGGTTTCCATAAAATATTGAGAAATACTTTTTATATTTTTAGTTCATTTTTTTTAGTAAATATGCCTATCAAAAATTATAGTATTTCAAAATAAGTCTCTACATTGAATTTTAAAATTAATTTCTGTGCTGTTTCCTCCTTTTTTAAAAAAATTAACACTAGAAGTAAGTATTAGGTTTTATTAAGCACTTATTAGAAAAATTTCATTTTTTCCCTTTTTCTCTGTAGGTTTGGATGGAACTGTTAAGCAAGGCTTCAGTACAATACATTGTAGCAGCTGCTTGTCCGTGGATGGGTGCTTGGCTTTGCTTAATGATGCAGCCTTCTCATTTACCTATTGATTTAAATATGTTGCTAGAAGTAAAAGCTAGAACCAAGGTATGATTAGAGAGACATAATGTATTTGTATGTTCAGCTCATAAGTATTAATATGCTAACCATATAAGGACTGTGTGCCTTTATTTTAAGTATGATTTTATTAGTTGAACGTAAGGAGAAGTTACTATTTTATTAGAAACTTCACAAAATACATAGTAATTTTTATCCATTAAAATTTTGTGTAAAAATCTGTTCTACTAGGATTATAACAAATGATAGTATTTTTAGTCTTGTCTTTTTTAGTGATTACTCTTTAATTATTTTTTTTTTTTCCTCTTTCCCTCTAGGAAAAAGCAGGTGGTAAGGTGCGCCAAGGCCAAAGCCAGAGTAAAGAAGTACTTCAGGAGTATATCGCAGGTGCAGACACTATCATGGAAGACCCAGCCTCCAGGGACTTTGTGGTTATGCGGGCCAGAATGATGGCAGCCAAGTGAGTATACACCAAGTGCCAGGTAGTCATAAATTCACAGGTCTGGCCCTCAAAGGTCACTTAACCAAATGATTCCTGTGATGTGTCTGTCAGTCTTTCCTTTATCATAGTGATTACAGAATAAGAAAGAAAGAGTAAGAAAACATTTTTAATTAAAAAAGCTTTTGTTGCTTTTTGTTTTTTAATTTTATTGTGTTAAAATACATATAACATAAAAATTAGCCATTTTAACCATTTTTAAGTGTACATTTCAGTGGCATTAATTCCAGTACACAATATCTTGCAGCCATCACCCCGTCTATTTCTAAAACTTTTTCATAACTCCAAACAAAAATTCTATACTAATTAAGCAATAACTCCCCATTTTTCCCTCCTCCCAGCCCCTGGTAACTTCTAATCTACTTTCTGTCTCTATGTATTTACCTATTGTAGATATTTCATATAAGTAGCATCATACAATATTTGTCCTTTTGTGTCTGACTTACTTCACTTAGCATAATGATTTTTAAGGTTCATTTGTGTCATTGCATGTATCAGAACTTCATTCCTTTGTATGGTTGAATAATATCCCAGTGTATACATAAACCAAGTTTTGTTTATCCATGCATCTATTGACGGACACTTGGGTTGTTTCCGTCTTTTGGCTTTTGTGAATAATGCTGCAGTGAACATTGGTGTACAAGTATTTATTTGAGTTCTTGCTTTCAGGTTTTTTTGGGTGTTTGTCCAGGAGTGGAATTGCCGGCTAGTATGGTAGTTCTATGTTTAACTTTTTTTACTATCGAGTATCGTTTCATGTGCTTGTTGGCTATCTGTAAGTCTTAGGAGATATGTTTGTTCAGGTCCTTTGCTCATTTTTTGATTAGGTTGTTTGTCTTTTTTTTGTTGAGTTGTATAAGTTCTTTATTCTGGATATTAAACTCTTACCAGATATATAATTTACAGATTCTTACTTCCATTCTGTAGGTTGTCTTCACTTTCTTGATAAAGTCCTCTGATGCACAGAAGTTTTTAATTTTGATGAAGTCCAAGTCATCTATTTTTTCTTTTGTTGCTCATGTACTGTTCAGCTCCAGAATTTCTGTTTGGTTCCTTTTTATGTTTCTTTATTGATATCCTCATTTTGTTCATGTATCATTTTCCTTTAGCTCTTTTCATATATTTAAGACTTGTTTTAAAGTCTTTGTAAGTTCAATGTCTAGGCTTCAGGGATGGTTTCTGTTATTTTGTACCTTTTAATGGGCCTTTTCTGTTCCTTTGTATGCCTTGTTATTTTTTGTTGAAAATAGGACATTTGAATATTATCATGTTGTAGCTCTGGAAATTAGATTTTCCTCCTTCCCCAGGATATGTTCTTTTTTTTTTTTTTTTGAAATGGTTGAAGGCTGTAGTAGTCCACTGGTTTAGTGACTTTTCCAAACTAGTTTTTGCAGAGACTGTATTCCTTGTCATTTGTGGTCAATGAAATCTCTGTTCCTTCAGCTTGTGTTCTGCTAGTAGTGTTTTGGCAGAGAGATCCTTGAACACCAGCAGCAAAAACAAATAAGAAACTAAACAACAACAAAAAAAAAACACCTCTCAGTCTTTGCAGATTGGCTATGTGCTGGGATGCTCCTTCAACATTTAGCCAGGCTTACACTGAGTCTAGAGATCAGCCTGAGGTGAAAGCTTAGGATTTTCTCAGATCTTTTTTGAACATATGTCTTGTCCTGGATATGGCATGCCTTCCTAAATTCTCCCCTATACACAAATGCTTTTGAATGCTCTTACTTCTCAGAGAAACTTTCTCTTTGGTCTGTTGTATGTCTCAACCTTACTCTTTTGCCATAGGTGGCTTCGAGTTGATCATTCGCTTTACAGTGTTGAGCAATGCCCAGGCTGTTTGTCCACACTGAGTGAATTCCAAGATAGGCAAAACATAGAAATGTACCTTGCATCAGCCCTTGGGGTAGCCCGCAGACAGGTTAGAACAAACACACACCATAATTTACAAAGAAAGTCTTTTCTGCTCCCACTAGAATCAGGGGACAATGTCCCACACTGAGAACACAGGCTACTGTCGTCCAGATTGCTATCGAGCCAGGGAGTGGGTAGGACACAAGCAAGTAGAAAAGCCACAGAGCTTTACTATGGTTTTTAAGTTGCCTTTTTCTTGATTCAGCATTTGCTTGGTTGCTATAAACCTTTGACAGTATTCTAGAGTTCTGACAGAGTTGGTTCTGGCAGCTTCTGCTTGTTTTTTGATGTTTTTGTGGGGAGATGGGAACTTGGAGCTGCCGACTGCACCATCTTGCTTAATGTTTTTTAAGTTTTAAAATAGAATTTTTATCTTTTTGTGAAGATAATTGTTATATCTTCTTCGGAAAAAGTTACGGCTTCGATGGGGCATATTTTACTTAAAATAATTTTTATAGCAACTCCTTTTTTCTCCCTCTTAGGTTATTAGGAGCACTTTGTTGCTGTATTTGTGATCCAGGTGTAAATATGGTAACCCAGGAAATTAAACCAGCTGAATCCCTTGGCCAGTTACTACTCTTCCATTTGAACTCCAAATCTGCTTTACAGAGGATTAGCGTTGCTTTGGTAATCTGTGAATGGGCTGCTTTACAAAAGGTAAGTTTTTGCCTCAAAAGTAATAAGACAAGTAAGCCAATTTCCACTAGCTGTTAGGATTATTTACATTGTATTTTATAACAGAAAAATGAAATTTTTCTTTGTATAAAAAGCTAACAGTTACAGAAAAGTATTCCAAATTGTACTGGAACATTCTTTCTCTCTCCCATTTACCTTTAACCCTAGACTTTTTTCATAAAACCCTCACTCTTGTAACTGAGACTACTAGTTATACCCATACTTAATACTTGTTTTTTATTCTATAGGCTGTTAACAAAAAGTCCTTATTAGAAACGTGTATGTGTAGAGGCAGTCCAGAAACTGGTGATCATTCGTTCCTCTATATCTTTCTCAGATATCACTGAAAACTGCAAAAGATAAGAGGCTTGGAGCTCCATTTCTGTGGGTAGTAAGGGCAGAATTTTTGGTCACAGGAAAAATAAAACTTCCGCATTTAAATCAAAATCATGTTTCTAAATAAGCCATTCCCTTGCAACCCTTTAGCTTTTAACTTCTAGTGAGATATTTAATTTTATATAAAACTTGCTTCTGTAAATTAGAGAAACTTCCTACAGGCTTTGTTTATTCCATTGGCTGGAATTCTGGAAATTTAACTGTCTGCACTTGCTGTGAGAGTTGCCTGTTACTGCCTCTTAGCAGTTTGTCAAAGCTGTGTCTAAAAGTAATTGAGCCATGCTCTGTTGCAACTGAGACCCCAGCTTTGCCTCTGGAAAGAAGCAAGGCTCATCTGTTTTTAGGCAGGACTCGATGTGCTGGAGAGGCAGTGATGCTGTGTTTTTGTGCCTCTCAGACTCAGCAGCAAGTGTTGACAGTTCGGTTTCTGGACCCTCACAGAGCTTCTCTGGACTTACTCTGTGAAGCCCAGGCTGATCACCCAGATCCCACAGAACCCCTCATGGCTCACCACTGAGGCCATTCCCCGTCTGGTTGGGGCAGGCAACAACCAGAGAGAGGGGGGTTAGTTAAATTTGGGGGCAGGTAAGTAGCTTTTAAATTATATATTCATTTCTACAGTATGGCATGTGAAGCTATGGGCACAACTGTTAAGAAATCTAATAATGAATTTTTAAATAATAGTTTTAGTGCATGCTAAGTATTCTTTTCTGACTGATTTCTTTTTACAGTTATGTACTTGTTAATCTATGGTCTGTATGTAAACCATGAATAAATTCTCTGAGTAAAGTGAGAATAATTAGGTAGAAAATTGAATGGAATTATAATAGTTCCATGTGCATGTTCCGTGGTCATTCATATTGAAATATTAAGAGTAGCCTGGGTGTAATACTTTTTCTCTTTGTGCAACTAACTATGTTGTTCTGGGAGATAACACCATAAATTCAAGATCAGTAGGAATTTAGAACTTGGTAGTCTGCAATTAAATATTTATGCATCTATAAAATTGTGTTTATATATATATTCTCTGAATGTTTGTTGTCTGTTATATTTTAGGAGTGTAAAGCTGTTACCCTAGCTGTGCAGCCACGTTTACTTGATATCCTTTCAGAACATTTATATTATGATGAAATTGCCGTTCCATTCACACGAATGCAGAATGAATGTAAACAGCTTATTTCATCATTAGCTGATGCACATATTGAAGTTGGTAATAGAGTAAACCACAATGTTTTTACAATAGATCAAGCTAATGACCTGGTGAGTAAAGAGGTAACTTTTAAAATTTTAGAGAGAGCGTGAAATAAGGATTAGAAGTTTGTCCTGTTATGTTTACCAGAAAAACACGCTGATTTGTTGAGTATTTTTAGGCTTGGTAGCCTGTCGTTCCTACCCTTCAGAAAGGTTATCTTTAATTGTTTTGACTTTTCTTAAAATAAGAGGATAGGGAAGTGTCTTAGTTATCTAGTGCTGCTATAACAGAAATACCACAAGTGGATGGTTTTAACAAAGATAAATTTATTCTCTCACAGTCTCAGAGACTAGAAATCCGAGTTCAGGGTGCCAGCTCCAGGGGAAGGCTTTCTCTCTCTGTCGGCTCTGGAGGAAAGTCCTTGTCATCAGTTTCCCCTGGTCTAGAAGCTTCTCAGCACAGGGACCCTGGGTCCAAAGGACAGACTCCCTTCTTGGTTCTTCATTCTTAGTGGTAGGCGGTCCCCCTGTCTCTCTGCTTGCTTCTGTCTTTGATATCTCAGAAAGAGATTGACTCAGGATACAGCCTAATCATGTAGATTGAGTTCTGTCTCATTAACATAACTTCCTCTAATCCTGCCTCATTAACGTCGCAAAGGTTAGGATTTACAACACACAGGAAAATCACATCAGATGACAAAACGGTGGGCAATCACACAATACTGGGAATCATGTCCTAGCCAGGTTGACACACATTTTTGGGAGACACCATTCAGTCTATAACAGGAAGGAATTTTTTACCTCAAACTCTGACATTGCCAATGCACCTTTATTGGGAAAAGCTGTTAAATGTTTTTTCATTGGAAAAACTGCTTCTACAAGTTCCTGAGTATTCCCCTCCCAACATTTTATAATGGAAACATTCAAATGTATAGGAAAAGTGAAAGAAATACACAGCGAACACTCACATATTCACCAACTAGATTCTACAGTTAACATTCTAGTAAATTTGCTTTATTACGTATATATTCATGTGTCTACCCCTTTTCCAACCATCACTCTGTCTTATTTTTTGATGTATTTCTAAGTAAGTTGCAGACATCAGTATACTTCAACACATATATCGTTAACTAGAGTTCAGTATTTCTCTTTACTCATTCTTGAGGTAAAATTTATATAGTATGAACTGTACAAGTGTTGAGTAGACCATTTGATGAGTTTTGACAGTTGCATCCATCTGTGAAACCCAGACCCTATCGAGATACAGGACATTACCATCACCCTTTCCCAGTTAATTCTTACCTCTCCCTGCCCCCGCATAATCATTGTTCTGATTTTTCCCTCACCATAGGTTAGTTTTATCTGTTCTAGAATTTCATAGAAATGGAATCATGTACAATGTGTTCTTTGGTGTAAGGATTTTTTTCAGCCTGATGTTTTTGAGATTCATACATGTTGTATGTATCGATCATTCTTTTTTTTTTTTTAAACTGAGGAACCGAATTTTAAATATTTATAGACCTTATTTTTTAGAGCAGTTTGAAGTTTACAGAAAATTTTTGCAGAAAATAGAGTTCTCATATACTCCCACTCTTTCTCCTGTTATTGACATCTTGCATTCCTGTGGTACATTTGTTTTAATTGATGAAGCAATTATAACAACATTATTATTAACTGAAGTCCATTGTCTACATTAGGGTTCACTCTGTGTTTTATATCCTGTGGGTTTTGACATATACATAATATAATGTGTCCGTCATTACAGTATCATAGAGAATAGTTTTACTGCCCTAACCATATCCTGTGCTGTACCTATTCGTCCTTCCCCCTGCCCCCCCGCCACCTGAACCCCTGGCAACCACCGATCTTTTCATTGTATGTAGTTTTGCCTTTTCCAGAATGTCCTATAGTTGGAATCATACAGTATGTAGCTTCTTCAGAGTTGCTTCTTTCACTTTACAATATGCATTTAAGAATCCTCCAAGTATTCTTGACTTGATAGCTCACTTCTTATTGGTAAATAATACTACACTGCATGGATATGCCACAGTTCATTTATCCATTCATCTGTTGAAGCGCATCTTGGTTGCTTCCAGATTTTGGCAATTATGAATAAAATTGCTATGAACATTCATGTGCAGGTTTTTATGTGGATATATGTTTTCATTTCATTTGGGCAAATAACTAGGAGCACAATTGCTGTATCATATTATAAGCCTATGTTTAGCTCTGTAAGAAACTGCCGTACTCTTCCAAAGTAGCTGTGTCATTTTGCATTCCCAGCAGCAGTGAGAGTTCCTGTTGCTCCAGATCCTCACTAGCATTTCGTGTTGTCAGTGTTTTTGGATTTAGCCATTCTAATAGGTGTGTCAAGAAAAACAAAACCTGTTGCCATAGAGTCAATTCCGACTCATAGCGACCCTATAGGACAGAGTAGAACTGCCCCATAAGGTTTCCAAGGAGCGACTGATGGATTTGAACTGCCAACCTTTTGATTTGCAGCCATAGCTCTTAACTACTGTGCCAGCAGGGGTCCAATAGGTGTGTAGTGGTATCTAATTGTATTTTGATTTACAATTCCCTTCTCTTTTTTTTTGGCTAAATTTTATTCCATTGTATGACTATACCACAATTAGTCTAAGCCATTCTCCTGATGACAGACATTTGGACTGTTTCCAGTTGTTATTATGAATAAAGCTGCTATAAAAATTCCGGTACAATTCTTTTAGTGGAGATGTATTTTTATTTCTCTGAGGTATATAAATAGCAGTAGATTGCTAGGTCATATTTTTATTTTTATAAAAAACTACAGGTCTTTTCCCAAAGTGTTGTATCATTTTACCCTCTGACCAGCAATAGGTGAGAATTCTGGTTGCTCCACGTTGTTATCAGCATTTGGTATTGTTAGCCTTCTAATTTTAACTATTCTGGTGGGTATGTGATAGTGTCTTGTGGGTTAATTTGTATTTCCTGATGACTAGTAATTTTGAACACTTCTTTATATCTTGTCATTTGTACATCTTCCTTTCTGAAGTGTCTGTTCAAATATTTTTTTAAATTAAGTTGTTCGTCTTTTTATCATTTATTTCTAAGAGTTCGATTTATCAGTTGCTTTCTTTTATGGTTGTTGTGTCCTGTGTCCTGTGAAAGGAACCTTCGTTTATACCCAAGTAGTGAAAGTATTCACATGTTTTCTTCTAAATCTTTGTAGTTCTAGAGTTTGTTTAGATTTATCCATTGTAAGTTAATTTTTGTGTATAGTGTGAAGTTAAAGTTGAGTTTCATTTGTTTTTCGTATAGATATTCAGTTTTTCTAACATTTATTGAAAGGACTTTCCTTTCCCCATTGGATTGCTTTGGCACCTTTGTCAAAAATCAGCTGACAGTATAAGTGTATCTGGGGTCTCTACTGTGTTCAATTTGTTTGTCTCTCCTTGTGGTAACAGTAATGTCTTGATTGCTGCAGTTTTGTACTTAGTAAGCCCTTGAAGTTGTTGTGTAAGTCATTTCTTCCTGATTTGATTTTACAGGACCAGAAACTGAGCCACTTAACTTGGGTTGGTTCTGGTGAAATCACAATCTTCATTTCTTATCCCCTTATCCCTCTTTCTAGTTGAAAAATAATATAGTTGAATTTTTTTTGTTCTCACCTGTAAGAAAAGTAAAAAATTGCTCCTTTTTTTTTTTTTTTCTGAGTTCACAATTTTATGAAGTTGTTTTTCTGTACTCCCCTCCCTGCTACCCCCCCCTTTTTTTGTGCCTGGCTGGAATTAAATCTCGTGAGTTTTCTTTATGGTCTGGAGTCCCTTCCAGTTATTTCTGGGAACTTTTCTTTTTTAAGCTCATCAAATGGCTCTTTCTTTTAAGCTTTTCTTTTTCAAACTCCTTACCCTTCAATGAAACTCTGCTGTTCTGTTTCATCAGCTTTATTAATCCAGTGGTTTTGAACTGGGATAGAGAGCATAAATCCTGGAATCTCTGGGAGAGAGTATTGAGGAAAGAGTTTTTAAAAGTTACCTTGTCTAGGTACCACTGCCCTTTGTTTACTTCACTGAACCACTGTTTTCCTGCCAAAATATGGGTATTTCTCTGCGGTGTCTCTTTGTCTCTTTCATCATTCTTACTTTTCTTATCTATGTGCTATACTATATTCTCTTGATCTTTGATGTTCTTCTACCTGTTAGGCTTTCTACTTGGGTATCTCACTGTCACTACAAGCTCAACACAACCAAAGCTGGATTATTTTGTATTTAAACAGAAAAATACCCCTTTTATCCATAGTCACAAATCTTGTCAACATTTACTTTCAAAAAATCTCATGTATTTATCTTTCTCTGTTTCCATTGCCACAGTCTAGTCAAAGGCCTTAGCACTTTATGTCTGGGTCCTGATTCATCTCTGAAGCTCCAGGCAGTCTCTGATCTATTTCATCCTGCATGCTGTGCCAGACTAGCAGTAGTCCTTTAATGCCACTCTGAACACATCCCTCCCCTGCTTAAAAACATCATCTTCCTTGCTGATCAGTTTTTTTTCTTACTTTCAACACCTTCTCTAAATTCCCTCTCTCTTCTCTCCACATTATTTCTCAAACTCCCTCCACTCTAACCAGTTAGCTTTTCTTTTGTAGAAGTACACCACACTCCCTCACTTCTGTACCTGACCTCCTGTTTCCTTTGCCAGGAATTCCCTACCCTCAACCTCTGCCCTCATCCCAAGTTCATCACTTAACGCTCCTCCGTCTGCAGCCTGTGCTCAGGCCATGATAACTGTTTTCAGTTCCTTGGACAGTGCCCTGCTTTCCACTGCCTATTTCACTTTGTCTACTTGCTGAGGTATCCCTACAGCCCTTGACTTACCCATTCTTTAAAAACCCAGCACAGCCTCCTCTGGCAAGGCTCTGCTAATCTCTTCTCCTAAGAAGGGTAAAGCAACCCATCTGTACTCCCACAGCACCTTGCACTTAATTCAGTTATGTTACATTGTCTTTTCTTATATATCTCTCTTCCACATTAGTGTCTGCATTTTTTGAACATGTTAAGCTATTGAGCCCTACTCATCTTTTGATGGTGCTCAATAAATATTTGTTGAATGAGTGAATTAATTAATGTTGGGTAGCTTTTTCTCAGTTGCCTAAACTCATTGAAAATTGACAGAAGCATAATGTGTTGTTTAGGACAATGTTTTCAGACTTTTAGCAGTGAAACCTTGTTTCAAATAAATCTTGTGCAGAACTCAAATATATAGAACAGACAAAAAACAAAGTGGAAAGTATAAGCTAGAAGTGGTATGTGATCGTTTTCATTAGGGGTGAACAGATCAACAAGGTCAAGCAGGTAAGATAATAGCTTAAAGACTGGTATATTTTATAATGATAAGAGAAGATCTTATTTGTGTGCTTTTTTTCTTCCATAATAAAAGTCTAACATCAGTGTTATTAATAATGGAATTGATAATATCTAAATTTTAAAAATAAGGTTGTCCCTTAAAAAAACTTTATTACTCCATTGTTACAGGCTTTTCTGACCAATATTAATCAGACTGGATCTATTTATGGAGGCTCTTTATGATTGTAGTTACCTATCAAACAGGACTATTTTTGTTATGTAGATCATTACACAGTCTTTAAATGGCGATTTGAAAAACAGATACACAAAAACTTATACACAAATGTTCACAGCAGCGGTATTCATAATAGCCAACAAATGGAAACAACCTAAACGTCCTGTCCATTAACTGATGGATAAATAAAATATGATATATCCATATAATGGAATATTATTCAGCAGTAAAAAGAAATCAAGTACTAATACATACTACAACATGGATAAGCTTTGAAAGCATTATGCTAAGGGAAAGAAGCCAGTTACAAAAGACCACGTATTGTATGATTCCATTCATGAGAAATGTCTAGAATAGGTAAATCTATAAAGATTGAAGGTAGATAAATGGTAGCTTAGGGCTAGGTTGGGGCGGGGGTTGAGGAAATGAGGAGTGATTGCTAATGGGTATGGGTTTTCTTTTTGGGGTGATTAAAATATTCTAAAATTGTGATAGCCGTATAACTCTGGGCAAAAAAAACATTGTTTTCTACATTTTAACTGGGTGAATTGTATGGTATATGAATAATATCTCAATAAAGCTATTTAAAAAGATGGATTCAGCTGTCTCTTAATGGAGCTTATAAAGTGATCTGATGCAATAGTCTTGTAACCTTAGGCTGCTCTTGGTAGTTACAGAGTTAATAACTATTGCATCCTTTTTCCACCCCCCTCTCCTGTTGCCTGCTCATTTCTACCAGGAGGTAGGTCAAAGAAAGAATGAAAATAATCCAGTTAGCAACACTTAACCAATTACCAACAGCTACCCTAAAAGTTTTTGAGTTGGGAAGAATCTTTTTCTATTTCTCAAGGAAGTTTATGAATTTTGGTATTCCATAATTAACAGTTTATATTTGGTTATAGCATTCTCATTTCACCAGATTACTCTGTGGGCATGCAGTGTGATTTTCAAACTCATTAGATATATTGAACAAATAGATAGTTTTGTTCTTTTCAAGAGGTTTTCTTTCTTGAAGAGTATGTTAATGTTAAGATTAAAACAAAGGTTAGTTAAGAGGTTTGAGACAGTTGTTTAACTTAACTGAATGTTAAAGAATACTAGATACTGTGGATCTTGCAGTCAAAACAGAAAAGCTTACCGTCTACAGAAATTTACAGTCTACTTGGATTTGATGTGATTAATGATTTTTAATTTTTTTTTTTTAATAGGTCACTACTGTTTTTAATGAAGTCACATCATCTTTTGACTTAAATCCTCAAGTGTTACAGCAGTTAGATGGTAAACGACAGCAGGTCCAAATGACTGTTACAGAGACCAACCAGGAGTGGCAATTGTTGCAGTTGAGAGTGCATACGTTTGCAGCCTGTGCAGTTGTGAGCTTGCAGCAGCTTCCAGATAAATTAAATCCTATCATAAAACCATTGATGGAAACGATTAAAAAAGAAGAGAATACACTAGTACAAAACTATGCAGCTCAGTGTATAGCTAAGCTACTTCAGCAGTGTACAACAAGGACACCCTGCCCCAATTCAAAGATTATTAAAAACCTTTGTAGTTCACTTTGTGTAGACCCATATCTAACTCCTTGTGTCACGTGTCCAGTACCAACACAGAGTGTCCAGGAAAATTCTAAAGGTACATATCTAAACCTTCATTTGGGGTAGAGAAAGAACTAACCGTCTAAATTTGTTTTCATTTATTTATAGGTATAATTTAAACACAAATCCAGTTCATGTTAGAGCTGTCTTCTATTCTGAGGGGAAAAAAAGCTCCTTGTTACATGAATTTGAACATACTGCTAATCAGATCACACCGCCTTAAACTATTAGACACCTGATATCTAAAATGACTGAAATCTGTGAGACTGGTGTTCATCCTCACCTTCTCCTTTGAAGCCATCATTATAGGATTTACATTAACTGAGACTAGAAAACTTAATTGTGTCAAAGGTTATTAATGAAAAGCTCTTCTTATAAAACCTGTGGTATACAAAATTTAGTGCATATGTTATGAAATAAGTGAACTCTGTTACCTTTAGCAAATAATACTTAACCAACTTCTCTGTTTTCATCTGGAGAATTTATATGGAAAATGAGAACTTCTCTCTAGGCTGGTCTAGGAACCAGTGTTTTTCTACATTCTCAATCCTGTATGATTTATTTTTGTAATAAGATTTTGGAAAAGCAAATTCTTGGAAACATGTAATGGATTTACGACTTTGGCACAGTATAGATCTTGACAAAAATGTGAAAGATATGGAAGAAGTCAGACATTTTGAATATTAATATCTTAAAAATGTAATAGGGTAATTTTTCCTTTCTAATGCTATGTGAGGCAGCATTATTTTGCAGTGGGTGAATTTTTTCTGAATTCATGGTGACTTTGGACATTTCTGTTAGAAAAACTTGGCTTAAAATACTTTTTAATGTTTCTTATTATGCCTAGGCACAATCATTCATTTTTTAAAATTAATATACTTCAACTGAAATATAATAGGCACAATTATTCTTACATGTGATGTTTCTCCTAGATAACATGCTTCTACAACTTTGATTATATTAGGTATGATTCTATACAGATATCAACAGATTTAACTTCAGAATTGTAGACTATTTTGTTACCATTTCATTATCTAAAGAAAATGTCATTGTGTTATAAAAATTGAGGATTAAAAGACAGTCTTAAAATATGTTGTCTCTTTTGGAGTGAGAAGCATTTGGTTACCTATATTATGATAAAAAAGTTATTTAACTTTTTTCTTAATAGGCTCCAACTCAGAAAAAGATGGAATGCACCATACTGTCACGAAGCACAGAGGCATAATTACACTCTATAGACATCAGAAAGCTGCTTTTGCTATCACGAGTAGGCGAGGTCCTACCCCCAAAGCAGTCAAAGCTCAAATAGCAGATCTTCCTGCAGGAAGTAGTGGAAATATCCTTGTTGAACTTGATGAGGTAAATAGTCTTTTTTTTTTTTTTTTTAAATACTCTGATTTTTAAACAAATATCTGTCACTGAGATTGAGAGCTAAAGTTGTCATATCAGATTCCAGAATTACATGTTTATATTTTTAAGTGATAGGACTGGGATTAATAATCTTTTAGAGTACTCCAGCAACATAATCCAGAAAAACTTTTAACTTCTTCAAATTTGTCATGCATCTTGTAATTTTTACCAGCTTAACTTTGTTACCTTCCTAGGCAAGAAACCCTCTTGATACTGGGTATGTAAGTTAGCAGAGAGGATGTTAACATGAGGGCTAATTTTCCCCGGTCTTAATCGGTGTCAGGAATTCCTCTTGTTACTCAGAGGATAAGTTTACAAATGTTGAATAATTGTTACCCACCTGACATTTAAGCAACCTGGAATTTATTAAATGTGTGGTGCTAAATAGGGATTTAAACTTTTCTACACGAACAGCCAGTTAGCCCATTACCACGTATTGAATTCTTCCCCACCCTTCCCCAATTTATCATGGCACCTCTACTATGTATCATGCTTCATGTATGTGAGGGTCTAGTCCACCTTTCTGTTTTGTTCCATTGGTATACTTGATCTTATGTGATGGTACAGTTTCTTTAAAGATGAATAATAATCAAAAAAGTGTTTGGTTTTGAAAATCTTATAATCTTACTACTAAGAATGAAATGAAAGACACAGGAACTTACCTGAATTTAGCAGTAAACAGGTAATGCTAAAAGACATATGTTTAATACATTTTTATAAAATGTATGCCTATTTTAAGTTTCTTTTTTTATCAAAATCTTAGCTTATTATCTATATTTTTTTAAAACATTCTGTGTATAAAGGCTTTTCCACTGACTATAACTCCACATAATAATTTTAATCAAAATTTTACTGTGATTTTGATATTTCTACATCTATGGTTTGCATACTTCTTCCATTTAAAAATTTTTTTTAAAGTTTATGTATGTCTTTGGGGGCAGTTTTATCGATTGTGATTACTGCTGAATAAGAAATTCTTAATCTGGGTCTGTCTTAAGTAGATGCTCTTATTCTGTCCCTTATGTGAATATAAATAAGGACAGATCATTTTATCTCCCTATCTTCTCTCTAGCTGGTAAGTTTCTTTGGGATAGAGAGAAGAAGAAAAAAACATGTCACTTAGATCCATCTCTTGTCAGTAAGCACGTATCTTTCTTTTCCTCGCCCCAAACCCTAAAACGGTATTTTACTTTGGCCACAAAAATCTGGAAGTTTTATGCCTATGTAAATTTAATTATTGAGAAATGTTTATAGTTGTGATAAATATATCTAATAATTGCTTAATTGGCTAATGGCAACCGTGAGTTCTTAGATGGTGAATTTTTAATTCTCTTGAAAAAATTTCAAATGCATTATGCTTTTTTCTGAAATTCTGCTTTTAACTAACTTTTAATTTAATTTTAGGCTCAGAAGCCTTATCTTGTACAACGGAGAGGAGCTGAATTTGCCTTGACAACTATAGTGAAGCATTTTGGTGATGAAATGGCAGTAAAGTTGCCACATCTCTGGGATGCTATGGTTGGCCCATTGAGGAATACAATTGACATAAATAATTTTGGTATGTACATGTTTTTCTGAGGCATTTTTTTTTTTTAAATTTCAGTGTATGTCAATTAAGTATATCTTTAAAAATGCCTATACCCGCAGGGATCACAATAGACAGTCCCGGGCAGAGCTAGAGAAAAATGTAGAACAAAATTCAAACTCACAAAAAAAGACCAGACTTACTGGTCTAACAGACTGGAGAAACCTCAAGCTTTTGGCCCTTGGACACCCTTTTAACACAGTACTGAAGTCACTCCTGAGGTTCACCCTTCAGCTAAAGATTAGACAGGCCTATAAAACAAACAGTAACACACGTAGTTCAACCATTTATATGAGACTAAATGGGCATACCAGCCCAGGGGCAAGGACAAGAAGGTAGGAGGGGACAGGAAAGCTGGACAACTGGAAATGGGGAACCCAAGGTCGAGAAGGGGAGAGTGTTGACATGTCACGGGGTTGGCAACCAGTGTCACAAAACAATATGTCTGTTAACTGTTTAATGAGAAAGTAATTTGCACTGTACAGTTTCACCTAAATCACAATTAAAAAAAAAAACAAAAAAACCTATACTTCATCCCAGACAAGACTGGTAAGTTTTGACATGGAAGGTTGGTAAAAAAATTTATTTTATTTTCATGTCATTCTAAAATACTTTTTGCTTTTTATATTTTCTGCTACATACTTAGAAGTATTTGAAATGGATCATTATGTTAAACTTCTCTGGCTGCTTTAAATGCAGTACCCCAGCACTTAAATTAACGGCATGGCACTTAATTTTACATTAAAAAGCAAAATAGACTCTCTCATACTGGGTGGGAAGGTGCTGAAAATTTTTGTGGACTCTAGACCTTATTTGTAAGGTGATATGGACTTAAAACAATGTATTTTAATAGATGGAAAGTCCCTCCTGGAAAAGGGAGATGGCCCTGCCCAAGAACTGGTGAATTCTCTGCAAGTTTTTGAAACAGCAGCAACTTCAATGGATTCTGAGCTTCATCCTTTGGTAACTAACTAATGCAAGTGTAGTATTTCTTCTGATAAAACAGGTGGTCTTATTTAAAAATCTTAAGACTTGACAAAAGTAACTTTGATGTCATCCCTAGTAATTGCATTTTTCTCTTGTATGGGATAACTAGATCCCTCCTTTACTGACATCACAACTCTTTTTGTGGGCTTTGAGGCAGAGCTAGGTCCATGAATGATAGAAAACCCACTCTGGGAGCTCAGAATAGAGGGCAATAGGAAAATGGCACTGATGACACAGGAGCCAGGGGTGAACAGGGAAGAATCTACACCCTTTGTTTTTATCATCCTGACCATCTTAATAGTAGAGCTCCAAGAAAGGGAGAGCACAGGTAATAAAACCTCTTTTCAAGATTAAGCATAAATGTAAAGGGAAATCATCTGCCTAAGGTGAGTCAGTGGCAGAGATAGAACACTGGTTTGTGGGGTTTAACTCAAAATATTTCTTACAAAAGAGTTGTGACAGAGTGGGGGGGCGGTGCAGAAATAGACTACAGAATTAATTATCTGGTATTTCCAAAGAATAGTAGTAATATTTCCATACAGCCGTAATAGGAAGCTCTCAGCCATTTATAGCATTGTAAAGGCTACTAACTCCAAATCTCTATTTGTATCTAACATAAAAAGGGAGAATCTAGAAGAAAATAGAGAAGAAATAAGTTTCTCTGTTTATATAGTAATAAAGCATGTCCTTTTACTTGTTAAAATTTTGCTGATTTATCACAAGTAAAAAAGGCACAAAATTCATCTATATCCTGTTACCCTCCATGAGCAGCAACAAGCATTCAGCTGAACTGTAAGGCTAGTCTGACTGTTGAGCAGACACCTGACTCTCACCAACAGTAATCCTGGTGTTCCATGCAGTAGACGTTTAATAATGGGATATGTCATGGTATTATAACACCTTTGGTAGGCCAGGAAGTTAAAATGGAAAATATCTACTGAAGTACGGTACTTAGAACAAAATCAGGAACACTCAACCCACTTAATAAAAAGTATGTACCTAAACCTAAGCCAATGCTACCAGATTTGGAGGGGACTTGTGTTGTGTGGTACCATTTTTCTAGCCTCAGGAGGAGCATCTTGCGAGTGTCTTGTCGTGTGTTCCCTGTTAATTTTGGAAAGAATGCTGAAGCAAGGCAGTTGAACAGGGGAGAAGTTCTGTACTTTTCTTTCTAGAAGAGTTATGATACCTTAGTTTGGATTTAGATTAATTTTCTATTAAGGATATTTTGACAGTAATAGTTTGAGGTAATTGGAGATGTTCAAGGATTCAGAGTCACTTAGAATATTGAGAACCTCTCTCAATATGAGCTATTATAGTTTCATTTTAAACAGTAGATTCCCTAATGAGTATTCTAATTGCTTTACACTTTTTGTTTTTAGCTGGTACAGCATCTGCCTCATCTTTATATGTGCCTTCAGTATCCCAGCACTGCAGTGAGACACATGACTGCTCGTTGTGTAGGCGTCATGAGCAAAATAGCTACCATGGAAACAATGAATATTTTTTTGGAGAAAGTTCTTCCATGGCTGGGAGCAATTGATGACAATGTCAAACAAGAGGGTGCAATAGAAGCACTTGCCTGTATCCTTTTTTATTCTAACAAACTATTCAGAAAGTATATTAATTTTACCTCAGGATGACTAAAATAGAATTGTTTTAGTTATTCAAACATGTAGCTAAATAACCTGCCTTGTTACAAAAAGAAAACTACTTTTAATTTTTTATAACATTTTATTATGAAAAGTTTTATACAAAAAGTTTGAAGAATTACTATTGAGATCTTTTTAATGAGCACAAATTATTTTATGTACTTTATGAATTGTATATTTACTTATAAACTGATCTATTTATTTGGTTTGCTGTTGGCTGTCATCAAATTGGCCCCCAATTTATGACAACCTGTACACAGCAGAAATGCTGCGTGGTCCTGTGCCATCTCCATGATTGGTTGCAGATTGGAACACTGTGATCCGTAGGGTTTTCACTGGTAGATTTTCAGAAGTAGATAGCCACGCCGTTCTTCCTAGTTCATCTTAGTCTGGAAGCTCTACTGAAACCTGTTCAACATCATAGCAACGTGCAAGCCTCCACTAACAATGTGGCTGCACATGAGGTACATTGGCTAGGAATCAAGCCTGGGTCTCTCACATGGAAGGTGAGAATTCTACCACTGAACTACCAGTGCCTCACATTTGGTTTATAATCATTGTTTTATTAACATTAATCAGGTCCTATATAGGTGGTGTCTATATTATAAATATGTTTCCCAAGTTCATTGTCTTGGGCGAAAATGACCAAAGTACCAGATAATTAGAAATATACAGTCACCCACTTTTGCAAGGTATGGCAGGCACTAATATTCTTTAACTCGAAGTATTTGAAAGACAATTTCTAAGAACAAGAAAGACGATGAAGATCAAATCAGCAGAAACTCTGTGGTTCAAAAATGGAGAAGATCACAGGAGGACTTGGCCCACAGTGTCCAGTTTGTGATTGTCAGGTCCTGGTGGGAAATCTGAAATTAATTTTTGAGTGACTCTGCTCCCTTGCTTAACAGTATGATTCACTTTATTTTGGCATTGGAATTCTAGAAGCTTGTAGGAATTTCTCTATGAAAAAAATTTTATTAGTAAGGCTTCCTCCAGCCTTTCCCAGATTAAAAACGGTATATTCTTAATTATGAGAAAGTTATGTAATGTCTACAAAGGAGTAACAGTGTGCAGATAAATGCTCTTATAATTGAATCATGTAGACCTGGAGGGACAATCTATTCCCTCATAATACAGACAAGAAAAACGAGGAACCTATTTTGGAAGTTACCATCTTGGTGTATCAATTTATTAGAAAAAACGTCTCCATCACAGCCATTTGGAAATTTCCTTAATCACTGTCTCAGGTGTAATGGAACAACTGGATGTTGGTATTGTTCCATATATTGTCCTTTTAGTTGTGCCTGTGTTGGGAAGAATGAGTGATCAGACAGACAGTGTAAGATTCATGGCTACACAATGCTTTGCAACGCTAATTAGACTCATGCCACTTGAGGTAAGCGAAACACTTGGTTTTTGGACTTCATGTTTTCTATAACTTCATTCATAATAATTGTAACCCTTTTTAAAGAATATGTTAAGGTAAAAAAAAAGGCATTATTTTGAAAATGTTTACATTATAAGCATTGAGATTTTTATACTTTTTTAAGCTATATTTCTTTATATACTTTTTAAAGCTATATTTCTTTTTAATGTAATCCTTTATTTAGATTAAAAAAAAATCAGACACTGTGGTTCCTAGAAGAATAATAATTCACTGATGCTGTCCTAAAAATAGAGTAAATATTAGAATCGTTCTTAAGTTTCCTTGGTACTATTTAGGTAAAGATTCTGGGGTGAAGTTTAAATGAAAGGTAAATTTTAGAGTAAAGATGGTAATTGAAACTGTAAAAAGCGAATGAAGTCTCTGTGGGAGTAGAGCAATAAGACTAGAAGTTAGAGCATTTGGAGTACATTCACGGGGCAGAAATAATATGTGGGGCCAATGTAGGAAATAATAAGAAGTGGCTTGAAGTAAGGGAATAGCCAAGATCCTGCCACTAAGCTGCTTATGATACTTTGATGGGATTTATGTAATTCAGGAAATAAGTAGATATTTCCATGTTGTAGCATGTGTCAGTACTTCTTTTTTATTGCTGAATAGTATTCCATCGTATGAACGTACCACATTTTGTTCATCTGTTCACCGATGGATGGACATTTGGAGTGTTACCATCCTTTGGCTATCGTGAGTAATGCTACTATGAACATGCACTTAAAAGTCTTTGTGTGGATGCATGTTTTTCTTTCTTTTGGGTACGTATCTAGGAATGGAATTGCTGGGTCATATAGTAACATTTATGTTTAACTTTTTAAGAAACTGCCGAACTACTTTTCCAAAGTAGCTGTGCCATTACATTCCTACCAGCGAAGTATGAGTGTAAATTGAATAGCCTCTTTGGAAAAACAGTTTGATTGTATCTAGTAAAGTTGAAGATACCCATCCTAATGACCTAGCAGATCCACTTCTAAGTATATACCCTAGAGAAATTCATACACATATGCTAGGTTACATATTCAAGAATATTTATTGTAGCATTATTTCTGATAGTCTAAAACTGGGAACCACTCAAATGTTCATCAGTAGGATAGATACATAAATTGTGGATTGTGCAATAAGGATAAACAAACTACAGACACAACAGTATCATTGAATCCTTAATGTAGAATTTAATTTTTATGTAGTTCAAAACCAGGCAAAAGTAACTGGAATGCGTATCTAGATGATAAAGGTATAAAGAAAAATAAAGTAATTAATTATCTCTTGGGGAGAGGAGAGTGGGTTGTGATTGGGAAGGAACATATGGGATCTTCTGAGGTGATGGATGGCAGGGTTCTTTTTCTTGATTTGGTAGTGGTTATAAAGGTGTTTATTTTATAATTTATTAAACTGTACATTTCTCTGCATGCATATTTCACAATTTAAAAATGTTAAAATCACCACCACAACAAAAATACTGGACTAGTGCATCAGAAAACCTAGATGTCAGTTCCAGAGCTGTTTCCATCCTCTAGTTTCTAGATTTATTCAACGCCTTTAACCTCCTAGGTCTTATTCAAGACCTTTAATTTCTAGGCCTTGCGTCATCTTGTCTGTAAAATGAATGGGTTATACTTAGTCCCATTAACGCGTTTTAGCTTTGGAATCAGTGAGTGTTGGGAAATCATCCTGTGGTTTTTGAGCGGAGGTAGACGATGAAAGCAGTGTTTTAGGAAAATTAGTGTATTAACTGTTTGAGTGTGCATTAGAATTAGTACCCCAAAACAGAGCCCAGTGACACTGTGAGGTGAAAAAGGGTCTAAACTACAGTGGTAACAATAGGCATTCAGAGGATTGTTTATTTTTTAAGGGAGAATGACAGTACTTGATAATAGATAAAGAAGAGATTTTGAACTTTACCAAAACCAAACCAAACTCATTGCCATTGAGTCAGTTTCGACTCAGAGAGACCCTGGAGGACAGAGTAGAACTGCCATAGGGTTTCCAAGGCTGTAAATCTTTACAGAAAGAAGGCTGCCACATCTTTCTCCGCCCAAGCAGCTGGTGGATTCGACCTCTTGGTTAGCAGCTAAGCACTTAACCACTGCACCACCAGGGCTCCTTGATTGCCTCAGTACTGGGCTCAAATTAGCCCTTGACTAAAGGGTGATCGAACCCGCCTTAAGAAAACTTTATAAGCAAACCTTGAAAGGGTCAAACTGATTCCAGAAAAAGAAGAAATGAGAATCCCAGGAAAAAAGCCCCCAAATATTTAAAGGAATACAGAAAACTCCAGCACCCAACAATGTAAAATTTATTATGTTTAGCATCCAACCAAAAAATTACCAGACAAGAAAATATGTCCAGGACAGCCCAGTAAAACCATGAGAGTAACGAGGTACAGGAGTCCAGTGGCAAGGCCCAGAAGGCAGAAGGGGAGTAGGAAGCTGATGATAGGGAACACAAAATAGAGTAAGGATATTGTTGATGTGTTGTGAGATTGTTAACCATTGTCATAGGGCAACATTTGTAGTAACTGTCAAATGGGAGACTATTTTGTCCTGTAAGCCTTCATCTTAAGTGAGAATAACAGCATAATTAGAAGAGCGTAGTCAATGTCACTTAAATGTGTATGTAAAAAAAATTTTTGAAATGGCGTATCTTTGGCTATGTGTATTTTCACCAAAAAAAAAAAAAAAAAAAAAAAAAAAAAAAAAAAAAAAAGAAAATATGTCCAATGACCAGGAGAAAAATCAGTCAATAGAAAAAGACTCTGAAATGACACAGATAACAGAATTAGTAGACAAAGACCTTGAAGTACAAGAAGGTAAGCCCGTTGTAATACGTTGTTTTACGATCCAGCCTCACAGTGATACGTAGTTGAAAAAAGGAAGATTATTATAACAGCCTTTTTAAATAAGTGTGGATATTCTTATGATAGCACACCAAAACCAGAAAAGAGGAAGTCTGTCAAATTCTGTTTGCAATGTAAATCTAAAATCCTAGAAAAAGTGAACTTTTTGTATTCTGTTACATTATATTACTCATTGGTTTATCTTGCACTTCTGAGTTAAGTCTTTCACCTATATGTGTTTTGTAACATATGCCTTGGTCATTTGGAAAATCTTGGTTCACTGAGTTATGTAGATTTTTCAAAGGTTGACACATTTTGTCATACAATATAGATCACATTCATTAATATCCCCAGCAGAAAATTCTTCTTAAGTATTAGATGTCATGCTGAAAATTTTTTTTATCTTGAAAGCTTGAATTTTATCATTGGCAGTAAGTTATATCAGTTATTTTCCTTAAGTGACAGGTTTCACTTTGTTCATTTTTGAGAAAATGTCAGCCACTTACCTAAGTTGGAATAATTGTAATTAGTTCTTTCAAGTAAAATTTTGTTTCATAAAAATGGCTAGTTCAGCTGGCAATTTAAACAGTCTTCCTAGTATTTTTTCCCCAAGACATTGTATTTAGACATGTAGCAGAAGCACTTATGTGTACTTCATGTTTTCTAACACAACATTAAAAAGATGTATATTCAGGGTTGTGAAGTTAATCATTTTTATTGCTTCATCGAGAATATTCTTAAGTAAAACTGGCTTTTTTTTTTTTTTTTTAATGCTAGTGCATGGCTCTGAGGACTACAGTAACTACTAGTACATTCTGATGCCATTGCTTTGATTCTTGCTGAGGCACCAGCAGTTTTGCCCATTACTTTTGCACCGTTAGTGTAAATGTCAACACAGTGAAAAAGGCAAATGATGTCTTAGTTTTATTAGGAAATAGTTTTGACCTCAAGGACCCTCTGTAAAGGTCTTAGGGGACTTCCAGGGGTCTGCAGACTACATTGGACATCATAAACTAAAATTTGAGAAGCTCCAGTAACGGCATTTAATTTGAAATAAACTGTACAGCTTTATCCACTTCTTTGTCAAATAATGCACTGTGTGAGAAAATTAAATTGTAGCTGTGTTCTTTCAAATACCTTAAATGTTTTTACTTAGTAGTCTCATTATAGTGCTTTTGACACCTGTCAAATTCTTTAAGTTCTTGTTTGTATTCAAGTCTTTTAAATTATACTATTTTTGAATTACTTTTTTTCTCTGTATTTATATTTTGATAAGACTTGAAATTATTTGGTACATTTTAGGATGAAAAAATTAATTGTGAGTAAACAGTTTTAATACATTTAAAAAAAATCATTTTAGGCAGGGATTCCAGACCCTCCAAACATGTCAGAAGAATTAATCCAATTGAAAGCCAAGGAGCGGCACTTTTTGGAGCAATTGTTAGATGGGAAAAAATTAGAAAATTACAAGATTCCAGTACCAATCAATGCTGAACTCAGAAAATATCAGCAGGTAAAGTTTTATACTTATGAATAGTAACTTTTCAGGTTTACCTTGAAGTGGTTTCAAATTGATTTAGTAAAATCTTGTGTTTAATGTCTTATTCCCATTTATTTCTCTTTGCCTGTAAAAGTACAGATTTTTGGTCTATGCAAATGTTTTTTACAAGAAAATTTTTTTAATGATTTGTTTATAATTTTTCTCTCCCCAACTTTACAGGATGGTGTGAACTGGTTAGCATTTCTTAATAAGTACAAACTTCATGGAATTCTGTGTGATGACATGGGTTTGGGAAAAACTTTACAATCCATCTGTATCTTAGCAGGAGATCATTGTCACAGGTAATTTAAAATGTTTTAAAGTAAGGCTTCCAGATTCTGAGAAATGTTAACAAGCTGGTAATTTATTGTGTTTTGCTCTTGTACAGGGCCCAGGAATATGCACGATCAAAATTGGCAGAATGTATGCCACTTCCTTCCTTGGTAGTTTGTCCACCAACATTAACAGGTCATTGGGTGGATGAAGTAGGTAAATTTTGCTCCAGAGAATATCTAAATCCACTGCACTATACAGGACCTCCAACTGAAAGAATAAGGTAAGAGCCGTACAACATAAAACTTTTTTAATCTCATTTTAAGTAGTTTGATAGGATAAAATTTGTAAAAAATGGAATGGAGGTTCTAGTTAGCTTTTTTTGGTTGCAAGACATAGAAACTTACTTGAGTAAACTTACAAATTATTTAAGAAAGGTGGGTGTATCTTGTAAAGTTATAAGCTGTGACACTAGAATTCAAGGGCTATAGCCATTGTACAGTCAGTTGGGCTTCCTAAGTATTGGAGATGGAAAACTATCAGGAAGCAGGGACATTCTGAATCTCCTTTTTGGGAGCCATGTGATCATCTCTGCTTCTCTCAGTGCTTCTTTTCTATTCTCATTCTCTACCCACTTTCCTAAGAGCTTCCCTTTGCCCTGCCTCTTGCTCTTTCCCCTTTCTTCTCTCCTAAAGTCAGCTGCTTTTGGTCCACAGTGGCTGCTCTAGCTGCCCCTATAACATAGGAAGCTTTACTCCCTCCCTGTTAACTGGTATATTTCTTAGATTCCCAAATATAAAATTTTAAGAGTTGAAGCTCATTGATTTTAGTTTATCTTTTAAAGCTTAGATAGTCACAGGTTGCTGATTAGTCCATGGATTTGCTGCCTTTCTGTATTAATACTAGCTAACATCTGTTGGGAGTCCCTGAGTAGTGCAAACAGTGAGCACACTTGGCTGCTAACTGAAAGTTTGGTGGCTTGAGTCCACCCAGAGGCACCTTGGAAGAAAGGCCTGGCTATCTACTTCCAAAAAAAAAAAAATCAGCCATTGAAAACCCTGTGGAGCACAGTTCTACTCTGACACACATGGGGTCACCATGAGTTAGAATCAACTCAAAGGTAACTGATTTAACATATTGAGCACTTACTGCCCAGGCACTATTCTAAGTACTTCTAAATTTATGTAAAATTATGTGTTGTGTATTCTCACAGTAACCTTATGAGGTACAAGTACTATCATTGTTCCTGTTTTACAGATGGCAGTCTGAGGCATGGGGCTTTGGTCTAAGATCACTCTGCTAGTTAAGTGGGCAGAGTGAGGATTTGAACACAGGCAGCTCAAAAGCTTGTATTAAGCAGTTTGCTGTAGAGACTCTTGATTAGAATTTTTTAATTTACAGGTGATAGAAACTCAACTTAAACTAGCTTAAGCAAACAGGAAATATATTAACTCAATTGGGAATTTCATGGGTGAATTCTTGCTTCACACATAGCTATATTACTCTCACTTGCTTTTTCTTCTGCATAACTTGTTCTGTTTCACTCTGCTGAACTTCAGAGATAAGATAACTATGGGTAGTCCTAGGCCCACTTCCTCCTTTCTTAGCAACTATAGTTGACAGAAGATCATTTCTCCCATTACGACTATATCAGTACTAGAGATGGTCATGCCCCCAAACCAGCCTTTGTGGTCAGGGGATAAAATATTGCGAATGGCTCAACCTGGTTCAAATACCTCATCTCTTTGGTGATTATGGGGTCATGTGATTGATAAGACACACACAATCCCTCCCCCCACCCCGCCCCCTGCCCCGTAGGAAATAATGGAGTGGTGAAGGAATAGTGCCTCCAAGAAAGAGATGTTGGCAAATAAAGATGTCCACCGTATTTTGAGTCACGTGCCCATCTCTTTTCTGTTCAGACTGAGTTAGGGCAACAGGCCCAAGTCATAAAAAGAATGGCTTTCACGTAGCAGGGCCATAGTTATAGAGTAAGCAGAAGGGATTGTTGGGTTCAGCAGGCAGATTAAAAGCACCTTATATGATGGGTAGCTGTAGTTTTCCCTTTGAAATTGTCTGTATTACAAACTTTGCATGTTTCCTTATTTTATTTATTTTTAAATAAAGGTTACAGCATCAAGTAAAAAGGCACAATCTGATAGTGGCTTCATATGATGTTGTGAGGAATGACATAGATTTCTTTAGGTAAGAATTAAAATTTTTCTTTAGAAAGGCATTGTATCAAATTTAAAGATGCTTAATATTTTCCTGTCTCAAAGAGTCATTGTATCGTTCCCGATTTTCAGTAAAAGATGCTGAAATTTTCCATTTATTCTCCTTTAGAAATATTAAATTTAACTACTGTATTCTTGATGAAGGCCATGTCATCAAAAATGGAAAAACAAAGTTGTCAAAAGCAGTAAAACAACTGACAGCTAATTACAGGATTATTCTTTCTGGAACACCAATCCAGGTAATTATTTACTATTCTTCCTACTTTTTTTATATTTGCTATGTGGGGAGAGTATGTTTGGTATTTGACAGTGAATTACAGAAGGGGTTCTTCTTAGTTTATAGGTGAGACAATAACTTTCTAGTAATTATCTTTCTTTTTTAATGGTTCATTTGGTGTGCATCAGTATCTGAACAAACCAGGTTTTAAAAGTCATATTTAAAATGTAATTTTAGACTATGTAGACTAAAGTTTTGTGTCCACAGTATGGGAGCGATTACTCAGAGTCTCTTCTACACTGGCTATTCCCCTTCTGTAGTATCATACCACAACCTGATTTACTATTGAAAAGCTCAAGCTAGTTCAGATTGAATATGTAAAGGTGTGAATACCTGATGTCAGGAGGTGATTGAAGGGAAACAGTTGTAGAAGTTGATCTTGGAAAAGGAAGTGGAAAGAGATAGGTGTATGTAGATGTCTATAGATACTCTTGAGAAATTCTGTTGTCCTTCAGAGGAACCAGAACTTGGTTGGAAATGTTCACACCTAGCCTGGATAGCAACTCCAGTGGGAAGACAACCTTGATCATTCCCCTGTTAATGAGAGGGTACACACCAAGTGACCTTTAAGCTTCCTTCTGACTCTGAGAATTGGTGTTTATTTACGTATTTTTTTTCTTCTAAATTTATTGTTGGTGATGAACTGATTATAATATTAGTTTTGTCCATTAAGTGAACACTATGGATTTTAATATCCACAAGAGAGAAATTTAATTTCAAGCCTAAGTTTAACAAATTTTTTTAAAAAGTACATTTAAAAAGGAAAAAAAAAAAAAAAGACTCTTAGACTTGAATTATCAAGATTTCAATTTAAACTTATGTGGAAAGTTCATAGTATTTTAAACTGGGCCTTTCTTAACTAATTTGTTACTTTCACTTGACTCAGAAATTTAAAAAATATATATTTTGTTTATTTGTTTAAATGCCCTGTTTCTTTCTCTTTTACCAAGTGAACAATTTAGTTCTAAAGCTTAATGTAAGGTGAAATTTCTTCACCGCAGAGCCACGGTGGCCCACATGGGGGGATAGAGCCTGAGTGAAATTAGAAGGGTGTCCATATGGGAGGGCAGCCCAGCATGGTGAGCCAGAGCCTGAGCAGGATGGGGAGGGCTTCTGGAGGGGAGGCCAAGGAGTGGATGAGTGCTTTAGGATCCAGACCTGTTGTAAAAGCCTCCAAAATGAAAAAGTCTTGAGATATATATATATATATATATATTTTTTTTTTTTTTTTAAATGAAACTTTAGCCATAGAATTGGAAAGGACTTGTGCCTTTGCCTGATGGCCCGTACATACTGGGTAGACTTGACCTATAACCACACTCTATTACGTTTTCTTTTGCTGAACAAATGATGATGTTGGCCAAATTCTTTAAATCTCGCTATTAATCTGAGTGTCAAAAATACATAATCAGAAACTTTATCTTTCTGCTCGTCTGTTTAGTACTTCATAGATGTCGGTAACCTAAAACCAGTTGCCATCCAGTCAGTTCCAACTCACTGTGACCCCGTGTGTGTCATAGTAGAACTGTGCTCCAGTGTCTGATTTTTTGGAAGGAGACAGCAGGGCCTTTCTTTTTTGGTGCCTCTGGGTGGACTTGAATCTCCAATCTTTTGGTTAGCAGCCGAGCTCATTAACTGTTTGTACCACCTAGGAATTGCAGTAGGTGCCAGTAGCACGGTATAAACACTATGGAGCAAGGCTTGTTTTGGTGGAGGGGACTTGAGAATTTCCCTCAAATAGAATAGACTATTTTCTTCAAGGATACTGACCTGAATTTTATACACTAACATGTAGACTTATAGCATGTACCTAAAAATGTGGTGATAATTTATGTCATCATAAAGGGCGTTCAGTAATGTTCTGTTTTTTTGAGTGTAAGGAGATAATTCCAGTACAGAAGAAAATAACTGATGTTCCTTTTTTATAATCAGAACAACGTTTTGGAGCTGTGGTCATTATTTGATTTCCTCATGCCAGGATTTTTGGGTACTGAACGTCAGTTTGCTGCTCGATATGGTAAACCTATATTAGCAAGTAGGGATGCGCGAAGCTCCAGCCGAGAACAAGAAGCAGGTATGAAAGAGAGATAATTGTAAATCCTGTGCAAGTGCATATAGTTTATTGCTAACTTTTTTGAAGCCATTTTCTCGTTTTTAATAGGCGTTCTTGCAATGGATGCACTTCACCGCCAAGTACTGCCGTTTCTTTTGAGAAGAATGAAAGAAGATGTTTTGCAAGATCTTCCACCCAAAATTATTCAAGACTATTATTGTACTCTCAGTCCTCTCCAGGTTAGGAATATGGTGATTTTGGTTGTTAGTGGTATGTTTATCAGCAGAATGTTTCATATAAGTAGTCTAATTAAAAAAAACTCAAACCCGTTGCCGTCAATTCCGACTCATAATGACCCTATAGAACAGAGTAGAACTGCCCCATGGAGTTTCCAAGGAGCAGCTGGTGGACTCGAACTGCTGACCTCTTGGTTAGCAGCTGAGCTCTTAACCACTGCGCAACCAGAGCTCCAAGTAGTCTAATACTGGTTGGCAACAAAAGTATTGAGTAAAGGGGCTTAGACTTTAGTTTTGTTTTTATCACTCTAATCTAACTTCTACTTCCCTAGACTTTAGGAAGAAGGACTAAATGGATTTAGATAGGTGCATCTGAATAAGCATTAAAATGAAATCCTATGTCATAGTTGCTTTCCTTTTATGTCTAGTTAATTGAAAAATTTGCAAGGTTAAATTGATGAAATAAACCTGTGTTTTTAAGGGCCAAATATGTGCCTATTAATGTCACATCACCCTCACAATAATATTATAAATATTGTTAATCTCTAGTTTTGCAAATAAGGAAAATTGAAGCTCAGAAAAGTAACTTACCAACAGTCATACAGCTAATATAAGGGCTGTGTTTCAAACGTAGGTCAGTGAGACCTCATCCTTCTGAAGTATTATTATATTAACTATAAATGTTCAAAATAAAATTTGGCTTCTGCACAGTTCTGATTTTATACATAGAGATCATTATCAAAGGAATTCATTATGTGTTTTTGTGTTGTACTTTTCTAAGCACGTGAATGGAAACTGTCCCTTGTTTTAGTAAGACATAGCCTACTAGTCAGAATTTTCTGTTTGAATGTTTGGTTTATCTCTAGGTTTGTATGTCATCAGTCTGTTTTATGGGCAAGGCACTAGACTAGATGCTTGCTGAGAGTTCAGTGACCTATATTGTGTGTCTCATTTCTCTGGGCCTCTATTCTTTCATTTGTAAAAATTGGATTAATACTTATTGAAAGGAATGTTTTAGAGGTAATGAGATTAATACTTTTTTAAGTAAATACAATAAAGAAAAGGTGCTGTATGAAAAAATTCTGATGATATAGTGGTGATGGTGTTATAACACAGGCATAAAACACATTTAAGTAGATTGGACGAAGGGAGCTGGGGAGGGCAGTGAATTTTTGGCATTTTGCTTAGCATTCAGAGCTTTTTATTTTCTGATTTCCATTCTTTAGCTCTCTAGATTTTCTTCTCTTTCATGTTATTTTAGCATGTAAAAGGCAGGAGCCAAGACCCCAAAGTAGTGCTTCAAATTTGATATGAGTTGCCCCTTAGGCTGGCAGTGCTATTCTTTTAAAATAGGGTCTCTTGGCAAGTTCTTATAGGGTCTTGACTGTATAATTTCAGTTAAAAAAGATCATCTCATTTACTTGTAAGGGTTTAGGTTCTGTTTTATTGATAATATATTTTTTTCTTCCTGAGCAGAGTGGAAAATTGGATCTAGGATTATTTGATACCTTAGCAGCCAAACTTAATGCATTATACTTGTTTTCCAAATGTAATTTAAAGGAACTTACCAAGATGCAGTGGATAATCAGTAATACCAGTAGTGAAGTACATGTATCATAATTTATTTCCTTTAATGGGGACCAATTTAAATTACTCTTCTTATTGGCCGTTGCTAGTTAGTGATTTGAACAATTGAAAATAAATATACTCTAAATAATAGATTGTCTTATAAAATAAACAGTATCAACCATGAGTAATGTGCTCCCTTAAACAATTAACTGTATGAGACCAAACGGTCAACATTTACCCAAAAGCAAAGATGAGAGAAAAGGAGGGGAAGGGAAGCTAGATCAATGGAAACAGACAGAATGGAAATAATGAGAATGCTGACAGAATGTGAAAATTGTAACCAGTGTCATGGACCAGTATGCATAAAAATTATTAAATGGGAACTTAATTTGCTGTGTAAACTTTCACCTAAAACACAATAAAATATTATTTAAAAAAAGAAGGAAATAAATATACTTACTGCTTTAATGGGACAATTTCACAGGTTCAGCTCTATGAAGATTTTGCTAAGTCCCGCGCCAAGTGTGATGTTGATGAAACAGTTTCTTCAGCTGCACTTTCTGAAGAAACTGAAAAACCAAAGCTTAAGGCTACAGGCCATGTATTCCAGGTATAGTTTATAGTCCACTTTTTAAATACTGTTGAAGAATGTTCTTCAGTGGCCAGTTTTTACCTGGAACACTGAAATACAGGTTTATTTAAAATTTTTTTCAGTTTGTGTATGTTGTTCTTAGTTGCCGTCAAGTAGATTCTGACTCATGGTGACCCATCCTTAAAAATTGTTATGAGTACAGAAAGTAAACAACGTGGCAAGTTGTTTAGAATGGCTCCTTGTTGATCTTGTATATTAAAATTAAATGTACACAACATATGTTAGTATAGTATACAAAAACGAGCTTTGGAATAATATTTTGCTTTCCATTCAAAAAATACTGGAGAACTTACCACATAGCAGTAATTTTTCTAAGCTGTGGGGCTAATTAAAGCAGTGAACAAAACAGATTCCTTCCCTTGTGGAAGGAATAATAAGATACATATTATGTAAGAGAAAATAAAACAGAGAAAGGGGGTTATGTGGTATAGGGGTAGGAGGTAGGTTGTAGTTTTAAGTAGAGGCATCATGGAAGGCCTCACTGAGAAGGTGACATTTGGGCAAAGATCTAAAAGGAGGACCGAGGTATGCAGATATTGGAGGAAGAGATTCCAGGCAGAGGATACAAACAATACAGAAGTCCTAAGACAGGATCATACCTTATGTGTTTGAAGGAACAGCAAATGAAAAAGAGGTAGAAAGTGTCAACTCACTTTTTCTTTCTCTCTTGAAATAGTCCACAATAGTAAACTTCCAAAACCTCCTTACTACCAATAACATTAAATACTGTGGCATTTTTAAAGATAAAAGGGAAAATGTAAAGACCTATATCTCTCCCACAATTTTTGCTGTAGTGGTCAGCAGCAATCTTTTGAGCATTATCAGTGGAGCTTAGTAATACAAAACTTTGTGCCAAGGAAGAGGCCCAAATCATGAGCCAAGTAAAACGCAAAAGAGAAAGAGTATGGCTAAAATAGAGAAGAGAAAGAAGAGACCCTAGAGGGATCTGTTTCTCAAATACAACTGCTTGAAACAATCACCTAGCCCCCTCCCTAGCAGTACTGAAATAGAATATTGTGTAGAGGAGAGAGATTGCAGATTTGTAAGGTCCTCAGGAATATGACACTTTCTGCCATGAGAAGAAGCTCACTGTCTGGTGGGGGAAACAGACATAAACAGTACAATTTATATAAACAATAAATGCCGTCATAGAGATGTAAACAATACAATTTATATAAATAATAAATGCCATCATAGAAATATATACAAACTGCTCAAGAAGCACAGAGGGACATTGGTGAAGGCATCACAGATGAGACATTTAAATTGGTTCTTAAAGAATGAATACGAGTTTGCCAAATGAGAAGAGTTAAAAAGGTATTCCAGACAGACAAAATAGCATAGGAAAAGCTAGAGATAAGAGTATTTGTGGTATATGAAGTGGACTTGTATATACTTTTCCCCCCCGTTAAAGGCATTACAGTACTTACGTAAACTGTGCAACCATCCAGCATTAGTCTTAACACCTCAACATCCAGAGTTCAAGAGCACTACTGAAAAACTGGCAGCTCAGAATTCGTCTCTTCATGATATTCAACATGCCCCTAAACTCTCCGCTTTGAAACAAGTAAGTGTATCTTTTAAGTGTTAGATGTGTGTTGCACATTCTTGATGTGTAACACTAGGTAAATTTGCTTTTTCCAAAAGGTTACCAGTGTGTTTTAAATTGGTTTGTTAAATTTTTGGTATAGCTTTTTAAAATGGAATAAAAAAAAAAAAAAATTCTAAGATTTCAGAAGGCTAAATTAAGCTAATTTCATGAACCATGATGTTAGTGGTAATAATCATTTAGTTCTAACTAGTTTTAAAAATTAGTATCTTACTGGACTTTAGTAATTGTTTTAGCTTTCAGTAGTTAATCTGGCCTAAATTTCATTGGGAATAACTCATGAATGAAGATTTTCGACTTCACACAGTTTAGTATAGAAAATGTTACATAATGGTACATCTGACATATATGATATCCAGTTATGCATCCCTAATAATCACTGAACACAAACTTTCACCAAAAAATTGAAGAATGACTATTACCTTTAGATTATATATGGAATGAGTTTCTTATTTGACCATGCTTTCTTTGCTATAGGCATATATATAAAATGTTCATGGTTTTCTTAACATAGCTAATACATTAAATAAAGCTGTAATGTATACTTAGTTAAGGAATCAGTTAATTACATCTATTTTCCAATAAAAATTAAATTTAATCCACATTTTAATTATACCATAGACTTTATGTTTAGAGTTTATCTTTTTGCAAATTACTTTTTCCAGCAGTTACTACTGAAACTGTACTCTCATTTTAGGGTGCTCATTGTTACTCTGAAGTATCTGGTGGTGTTTAGGAACTCTGCAGTTTAAAGAGGTCCAGTTGTTTCTGGCTGTCCTCGCAGAGGGCTTTTCTAGTAGTAGCCTTCTTTCTGTTTTCTCCGTTCTTTCAGCCATTCAGAGTGAAGGCTTTGCCTTGAGAGATAAAATTCATTGTCTATTTTCTGAAGTAGGGGAGAAGTTTTACTTAGTTTCTAAAAATTTGCCCTTAAAAATAATAGAAACATGTTTATCAGCAGGTAATAGTGAAACGAGGAGTGTCTAATATTGCCAGAGTAAGAATTCAGAAATTTCAGGAGGCTTGAATGATGAACTGAAATTTTAGGTCAAATTTAATGGAAATAAGTAAGGTCAGTTTTAAAGAAACCCATAAAAAACCCGTTGTTGTCGAGTTGATTCCGACTCATACTGACCCCATAGGACAGAGTAGAACTGCCCCATAGGGTTTTCAAGGCTGAAATTTTTATGGAAGCCTGCTATGTTGACTTTTGCGCACAATACCCTGAGCGTTGTAGATTGAATTTGGAGTTTGTCCGAATGGCCTTTTGGTATCTTTCCCATCTGAGATTTCAGTTTTCTAAGTAACTTCATTAGCAGAAGGCAGAAAGATCTTACATTTTGAGCAGAATTCAGTATCTAAGATCCTAGAGATGAAAGTACTATTTGGTACACTAGTTTCCCAAACTGATCTAAATAAACATTTTCTTGGATTTTATTCACTCATTTATTAATTTATGCCTGCTACATGCCAGACACTGAACCACTTATGTAGCAAGAAATACAAAAGATCTGTAGCAGTGTGGTTCCTGGCATTAAAGATCTTAGTCTACAGTAATAAGCTCTCTTGTCAACAAGGAAGTAAGGAGATCTAGCTAGATGCTTTGGTTCTCTTCGTTCTTTTTTGTAATTTTGATCTTTGCCAAATTTAGCTGCTCCAACCCTTCATGAACTATTTTGCCTGGGCCATCTTCATTGTCATCACGTTCAATAAACATTTATTGAGCACCTGTACTTCTACAGAGCCTCAAGGTATTGAGGAAAGGGGAGAAAGCCTTGTTAGATAGCCTCCTGAAGAGGTGACCGGGAAATTTTAAGGGCCACTAAGCATTGCAGCCAAAAATACTGTTCTCACACAGAGAAATATTTGTCACAGTGAGATTGTCTACTTTTACTGAATGTGTGTAACAATCATTTTTTTCCTTCAAGTTGCTGTTGGACTGTGGTTTGGGAAATGGCAGCACTTCAGAGAGTGGTACAGAGTCCGTTGTGGCCCAGCACAGGATACTGATCTTCTGTCAGCTTAAAAGCATGCTTGATATAGTAGAACATGATCTCCTCAAACCTCACTTGCCCTCTGTCACTTATTTGAGATTAGATGGCAGCATACCTCCTGGTCAGCGGCATTCCATTGTTTCACGGTAAGTGGCTTCTAAAATTCTATTCTAAATCAAGCTATAGTAAATGATTATTACTTACAGAGAAATTTGCCTCAAAATATTTTCTATTTCTAAATAAGATATTTGCAAATGTTTTCTTTTTATGTAATTCAACCTAACATAATCCATCTTTAAATATAGAATGATAGAAATACAATTATTTAGTAAGTAAAAAAGTGTAACCATATTAGGAAAGCAATCCAAAGGGCATGAAAGAAGCTTAAGTCATCAATAAACAATAGAGGTAACTACTTTTCCCCTCACCGTTTTTGGGAATTGGAGACAGTAAGCAAATGGCTTGGCTAAAATCTCTCTTCTGATTCCTGTTCAGGGACCAAGTTGGAAACTGACCCAGCTAGGAAGCAGAATCAATTGTGCAGTGTTTAACTGTGGTCTGCACCCTGTTATTTTAGAAAATTCAGGAACTGAGTTTTTGAAAAATGCAGATTCTTAGGTTCCGTGCTAGATCTGCGGACTTCAAGAGTGAGCATTTTTAACAAGCATCAATAGGAGATTGTTACACACTATACAGTTGAAGACACACAAAGGGACTTTGGCGGCAGACAGACCCAAGCTTGATTTCTGACTCTACTTTTTAAGCAGTGTTTTCTTAGTCCGGTTTATCATCCACACACCCTCAGTCTCTCTAAAATTGGGATAATGATAATACCCCTATAGAGCTGTTGTACCAGTTAAATAAGATAAAATAAGATAATGCACTCAGAGTAAGAATGTAATAAATAATAGCTGCTATTATTAATGTTTATTATTATTAATGTTTATGGAGCCCTCGTGGTGCAGTGGTTAAGAGATACAGCTGCTAACCAAACGGTCAGCAGTTAAATCTACCAACTGCTCCTTAGAAACCCTATGGGGCAGTTCTACTCTGTCATGTAGGGTCGCTGTGAGTCGGAATCAACTTGATGGCAACGGGTACAAGTATTACTAATGTTTATAATGTTAGTTTTCCTTCCTGCTGGAAGCTGCTGGATATCCCTTATCAACACTTTATGACTAGTACAATAGAAGCAACCCTCAGTACCTTCATCACCTTCATCTTCTACCTTTTCTGAATGATCTAGTCTTCTCCCTACCCTCACCTTTTGTCTCCATACTTTAAAGGTTCATAGTTGGGTTTTGTCTTAATTATAATTTTATATTTTTGCAATTTAGTCTTTGTCTCATATCCTAAAATACACCCCAGTTGACTTCATTATTTCTGTTTATGAAATTTCTGACAAGTTTTAGAACAATTCTTTCCACTAATGAAGATGTTAAAAAACCAATACCAAACCCATTGCCACCGAGTTGATTCCGACTCATAGCCACCCTATAGGACAGAGTAGAACTGCCCTACAGGGTTTCCAAGGAGTGGCTGGTGGATTCGAACTGCTGACCTTTTGGTTAGCAGCCTGAGCTCTTAACCACTGCTCCACCATGGCCCCAGTGAAGATGTTAGGTATATTAAAAGAGGATATTTTCATCTGAAGTGGTCATAGAAGTGCCTGTTCATGGATTTTTAAAGCAGTGTTTTCATTTCTGCTCTTTAATTTTTATTAAACAGCCCAGTTTATGTTATAGGAGCCTTAGAAAGATATGTATTGATTTTATTTTTTAATATCTGTACTCAGGTTTAACAATGATCCATCCATAGACGTCCTCTTACTTACAACTCACGTTGGTGGCCTGGGGCTTAACTTAACAGGCGCTGACACAGTGGTATTTGTGGAGCACGACTGGAATCCCATGCGAGATCTACAAGCCATGGACCGAGCCCATCGCATTGGACAGGTAAGATTCAGTCTCACAGGTGTCAGCCTACACGCTGGGAAAGATGCTGCTAAAAAAAAAGTCAGGAAGCCTTAGTTCAAGCACCTGATCTGATATTAACAAGTGTTATCGCCTTGAGCAAGGCGCCACTTCCTCATGAGTTCAAAATGAAGTGCTTGGGTTAAGAAAACCTGGAACAGGGTCCATCTCTAATATTCTCTGCAAACATTCTGAGCTTATGGGGCCAAACCAAAAAAACCAAACACCTGTTGCTGTCATAGTAACCCTACAGGAAGGACAGAGTAGAACTGGCCTATAGGGTTTCTAAGGAGTGGCTAGTGGATTCAAACTGCCAACCTTTTTGTTAGCTCTTGACCACTGTGCCACCAGGCCTCCCGATAAATAAAACCTAACCCTAATTAGGTAGTAGTATGTACTTAGTATAAGAGTTTGCATGCCCTCTGACTTAGCTTCAGAACGTATCAATTTATTTGTGCTACAGTTGCTTAACTATTTTTCTCATTCAGAAACGCGTGGTTAACGTGTACCGATTGATAACCAGAGGAACACTGGAAGAGAAAATAATGGGTTTGCAGAAATTCAAGATGAACATAGCGAATACTGTTATTAGCCAAGAGAATTCTAGTTTGCAGAGTATGGGGACGGATCAACTTCTTGATCTGTTTACTCTTGATAAGGTAAAGAATTTGTACAATATTGTATTAATGAGTTCACAGATATCCTCATACTGCTTAGTGAAACTATTAAAGGGAGCAGCAAAAAGCATTCACTTTAGTACCTTCTAGATATTCCTTTGAGGGAATTTTTGGTACTCAGGTAAAAATCTCCAGGATACTAAGGGATGTTTAAGTGTGTTCAGGTTCTTAAGGTTTCTTTGTCCTTTCCTGCTAAAGGACTGCTGATAGAACTGGGCTGGGGTTTCTGGCCCTGCCTCCTATTAACTGGTGACCTTAGGCAAAATAACTTCTCTGAGCATCTAAGCCCTCGGGAGGATAACAATGCCTATTTTACTACATGATTATCAGGATAAAATGAAATAATATATTGTAAGCACTTAAGCAAGGGTACCTAATATAGATTGTCAGTAAATAGTTGTTTTTGTTGTCATTAGGTGCTGTCAAGTCAGCCCCTGGCTCATGACTGGTGTCATCTGTAGGGTTTTCACTGGCTGATTTTCAAAAGTAGATCGCCAGGCCTTTCTTCCCTGTAGCTAGCCATTATTGTTATTGCAGATGTCTTCTAACAAACAAAGTTAGAAGACAGAACTAATACATTAGATAATAAGCCATAATCAGAAGGATGCACCAGCTGGAAATATTGATCAACCTAAAATGTAAAACTTACAGGGTTGGATTTCAAGTCCTGCATAGGTTTAGAAAATCAACTCCACATTCAGTGTAAATTATGGTGAGAAATTGCCTTATACTGTGAAATTATAATCAGCTGTAATAACAATGTTAACATCCAAATCTGAGAGAAAGTGGTTCAGTTGTACTCTGTACGTGCTAAACCACATCTGGAACATCGTGTCTGGGTGCCACACCTTAAACACTGACAAATTAGTTAGCCCCCAAAAGATGGCCAGAGTTCTTCAGTCATGTTATATGAGGTAAGGTTGAAAGAACCAGGAATGTATAACCTAGAGGGGAAAACGCTGCATGAGAAAGAGAATGGCAAAGCAAATGTGACAAAATTAATGAGTTCTTTGTAATGTTCTTATGTTCTTCTATAATTTTGAAATTCTTTCCAAATAAAAAGCTAAAAACGATAAATTATTAGAGCTGTGGGAAACAGAATGGGCTATCCTATAAGACCATGAACTTCCCATCATTTGAGTATTCAGCTCTACTGAATAAGTGCAATGTTAAAGACAAGTATGATATTTTAAAAGAAAATATAATTTTTGAAGTTAATAATCTTTCATTTTCTCTTTTTTAATTTTCCTTAAGGATGGTAAAGCAGAAAAAGCTGATACCTCTACTTCTGCAAAAGCAAGTATGAAATCAATTCTTGAAAACCTGAGTGATCTTTGGGATCAAGAGCAGTATGATTCAGAGTACAGCCTGGAAAATTTTATGCATTCTCTCAAGTAACTATCAAATATTGTAAATGCATTGCTGCTAGTTCAGTTACATTTCTGCTGATATTCAGCAAATTTCAAAGTTTATGGTGAACTTTTAGCTCAACGTGTAAATAGATCTGAAGAATATTCAGCGTACGCTGGCACTTGTTTCACTGGGGGGAACAAGTTATTCTCAAATATTTGCACTGTATTAAATTTAAATGTTAATGTGAAATGGTTTAAATTTTACATGCTGAATAGCTGCAGACCAGAGGAACCAAACCAGGTTTACATGTGCTACCAGGAGGTGTTCTTACTTAGAACAAGCCTCCTGTCTTTACATAGTGACTTTGTACAGGATAATATCCATGAGTACTTTAGTGTTCATGTACATTTTTTATTTTAAATGGAACCTGTTTTTATAATGATTAAAAAGAGGGCTTTTTTTGTATAAAAGCCTTAATGAGCCATAATTTTAAGAAATTATTGGTCAGTCTTGGAACATGACAGAATGTTAGACAATGAATTGAACCAAGCGCTTGGTGGAAACCTTTATATATTTAATGCAAATGCACAGTGTTTTTCAAATCTTTAACATCATTTTGCCAACTTTTAAAATATAATATCAACTATTCTAAATACAGGTCATGGTCTGTTTAAGGCTACCATAACATCCTATTAAGAGGGTGTTTTTTTAATTTATCTAAAGGCTAGATTATAGCCAAATTCAAAGAACATATGTACTCAATAGGTTTCAATCTTATATATATATATAATATATTTTTTGTAACTATGAACATCTACAGTTTTCCAGAAGTAGATTTTACACTGTTTAGAATTCTAAAACCTATGTTGAAAAGACTGTTTATTGCAGTAATGCATGACAGAAACATAAAAGGGAGAAATAATTCCCTTATACACAAACATACATAAATACACATATGCACAGATGTATCTATCCTGCATCCCAAAAGGTGCCTAGTATTGGCACTAAAATCATGTAGTTATACTGGGCAGCAATAATAATTGGGCATGAAGCTGATTAACTAGTGTTAGAAAAGTGAGCTCAGTGGTGAGGGTGAGTATGTGTACGTATATATTTTATAAATTTCACACTCATAAATTAATACATTGCCTGTCTACACACATATATGGGATATATTTGTGTGTGTGTGTATCTATGTGTCATGTGTGTATATATATGTATATACATATACACACACACAGATTAATAAACATCCCCAAGGTTTATGGCTGGCCATACACATAGGCATCAGTTTAAAAACCATCAGACCTCAGCTGTAAAATAACAGATGTTTTGTTTAGAATCATTAAACTTATACTGTTCTGCAGCATTTAGATGACATGGACGTTTGTCATATTTCAGTACTTTGACAACCATACTGTAACATTAAACCTAGCATTCCATAAGCATAAGAGAATAAAATATAAGATTGAAACTGTAAAATATATGCAACTGTGTGTTATTTGTAGGAAATGCTCACTAGAAAAAGCAAACGATTAGAATTAGTTCCAATATAAAGGTTCTAAAGTTTATTGCTTTTTTCTTACTAATTAACTGGCTATTTCTTCATTGTTTAGGATTTATATTCTAACTGTAGAAGACCAAATAGAAACTCTTGACTTTGTGTAGAGTATCCATTGTACACAGCATTAGACACCTGAGCCAGTGCACTTTAGTTGAATGTTTTTTATTAACCATTTATGTACTATTTTCACAAGCCAGCTATTTAACATAGCTCATAGTAATTGACATTTCCTAATCATTAATGTACGGTAGTTTGTTTTCCCTTGATCTTCAATATAAGATAGACTTTAGATTGGGGGGGCAGTGCTTGTCAGATGTGTAATTATAGTTTTCTAATGACCAAAGAGACACTGGTCTTATCTTCTGTGGCTGCCAAAACTTTGTAGTTTTTTTCTAGGAAAATTCTCTACATTTGAAATGGTAGGTTGCCGACATCTCCCTTTCTTGTTGGTATTCTATGTAGACTAGTTGGCAGGAGTACAGTATTTACTGTATGTATGTGAAGTAGCTATAAGAATATGTAAGGAACAATATGTCATTAAAGAGAGGAGTGGGCTGAGAATTCACAATATAAAAAGGGCTAAAGTGTTTGGTTTTTTTTCCTGATTTGTAAGGTTTGATAAAGAGCTGAAGTAGAGCTGAAGTCAGATATTTAGGCAGTTTAAATTTTAAAAGAATTTCATCTCAAAATGTATGCATGTGTTTAGTAAAATATTTCTAGAAGGACAAGAAAACAGTAATAGTGGTTGCCTTGGACAGGAAAATGGGCGCTAGGGATGAGAGGAAGACTTAGTATAACTATAATTAAAAAATAACCTTGTGAAATGTGAAAAATTAAATTCCATTCCAACTTTCTAAATACAGAAAAACACATAAACAGGTAAGAAGTATACTTCATTAAGTGACCCATTTAAGGTCATAGTAGTACAGTTTAAGAATAATGGATACATGGGGAAATTGAACTGAGTGATGAATGATATTAAAGATATGCTGTTAATTTTATGGATATGATATGGTAAGTCATGTTTTTAAAGACATTTGACTGTGGAGAATAAAACAGATATAATAGAATGTTGATAAATATTTTAAGCTGGTTAATAGTCCATAGTGATTCATTATTTTTTTTCAAGTTTTTATTATAGAAAATTTCAAATAATTTAAAAATAATTGCAGAATTATAGATTAACAGATTATCATAGCCTAGTGTTGCTTTCCTATAGGAAATTAAGTTTTTAGCACTAAAGAAATATTAAAATTAGGGTTTCTGGGTATAATTTTTCACCCACACACGTAGTCTCCATGAGTCAGAGTCAACAGCAACAAGTTTAGGATGTGTGTGTGTGTATATCTCCACATATACTTCTAAAAAAAAATGTTCTAGTCTTTCAGCAAGAGCTTTTATATCTGGTAATACAGTTGAAAGTCTTTGATGCTAGGACTGATTGAACTGGTGTAGCCTTACTGTACCTTCTGAATGGCTTATATGAGCTTATTCAAAAGTGAATTCTCCAGTGCAGCTGTTGAGAATGTGACCACTTAGAGGCAAAAGTGGGGGAACTACAAGAGCATGATAGAAGTCATAGAAAAGTAACAAGGATTCCATCATACATTTGTCTGTTCCAAATATTTAATCCCAATGCAATCTTCTACCTTCTGGTTAAAGATGGACCATCTGAATTTCCCAGAAGACATGCTGGCATTTGTGGACTCTGAAGTTAAATTGATTGTAGGAACATCTGTTATCAAGTGCCAGAGTACTCAATGTGGATCAATAAAACAAAAACTTGAGTTATGGCAATTATTAGAAAATGTCTGCTATTCACACTGCAGTGTCAGACACTATCTCTAAGGAGGTAAAAATGGCCTCCTGCCACGAGAAAGAGTCCCTAAGCGTCTCAGATAAATTCACTTAGACCAGTGAAGTTCTGTTGAAGAATATAGGAGTTGATCCTAATGTGTATGTAGGGGCAAGAGACATGGCTTCAGGCCTACAGGAGAAAATGGACTACAACTTAGTCCTATTTGTAAAGCCTCAGAGAGCTCATGTACAACAAAAAGACAATCCAGTTTAAAAATGGGCAGAGGACACTTCACCAAACAGGACATTTAAGCAGCCAACAAATGCATGAAAAGATCTTCACAATCATTAGCCATTAGATGCAAATCAAAACTACAATGAGATACCCACTCACCTCTGCAAAAGTGGCACTGATTTAAAAAAAAAGAAAACAAATGCTGGTGAGGATGTGGGGAGATTGGAACCCTTATCCACTGCTGGTGCAATTGTAAAATAGTACAACCACTATGCAAAATAGTATGGCGCTTCTCTAAAAAGCTAGAAATAGAAATACCTTGTGATCCAGCAATCCCACCCCTAGGCGTATACCCCTGACATCTAATAAAAGAGACATGAACAGACATATGCAGACCTATGTTCACTGCAGCAGTACCCACAATAGCAAAAAAAAAAAAAAAAAAAAGGAAACATCCTAAGTGCCCATCAGCGGATGAATGGATAAACAAAACGTGGTACATACGTGCAATGGAATACTATGCAACCATAAAGAAGAATAATGAGTCCTCGAAACACAATGTGGATGAATCTGGAGGACATTATGCTGAGTGAAATAAGTCGATCACAAAAGAACAAATACTGTATGATTGCACTTTTATAAGAAGACAAGAGTAGGTGTCTTAGGCTGGGTTCTTTAGAGAAGCAAAACCACTAAAGTGTATAAATATATATATAGGGAGAGAGAGATTATATCAGGGAAACAGCTCACGTGATTGTAGAGGCTAGAACGTCCCAAGTCCATGGATCAGGGTAGAGGCCTCTCCCAAGTCACACAGCTGTATAAGCTGGCAAGCCCAAGATTGGCAGGTTGGAGAGCAGGGCTCCCGCTCACAGGCTGTGGAGATCGACGAATCCCAGGTTTGGCAGATAAGCTGGCAGCTCAAGTCCCAAGAATGGGAGATGAGACAACAGGAAGCAGCCGCAGGATCCAGAGAGAGCAAAAAGCCAGAACGCCTGCTTATATACAGATGCGGGCCACACCCCCAAGGAGACTCCCTTTCATCTGATTGGCTACTCACGGTATATTCAATCATGGGAGTGATTACATTAAAACACGAAGAATCATGGCCCAGCCAAGTTGACACACAATCTTAACCATCGCACTAGGTATATATAGCAAGACCAGCGCTCATCGATGGTTACCAAAATTGGGGGTAGGGTGGTGGGAGGGGGGGAGCACTCTCAAGATAGTAGACACTTGTTATTTTGGGGGATGGGAAAGGTAGCATTGAATGTGGGTGAAGTGCACACAGCTTGACCAAAGTGATGTCACTAAGAAGTGCACAAGAGAAAAGGACATTTTTGGTAAAAGATATGACAAATATAATTTTGCAGTAACACCAACAGCCAAAAACTGTGTATGGGTATGAATATGTGGGTACATATGTGTGCACAGATAGATGTATCTATAGGCATATATACGTACAGGTGTGTGTGTGCGCATGCATATACATATATATAAAAAAACTACATAGGGGACACGGTTATGGATACTTCTTAGACATAACTAAACACCTCGCAAGATTGGTTTTCTGGGTTTGAATGCTTAGGACCATAGTCTTGTGAGAACAAAAATCCTCAGTTAATTGGCATAATACAGTTCATAAAGTATATGTTTTATATCCCAGTGTGGTGAGTAGTGTCTGGGGTTTTAAAGGCTTGAGAGCAGCGATCTATATCTGTTGTTCTCTACTCATCCAGAACAAAAGAGAAAGAAGGAAACCAAAGACTCAGAAAAGAAAGTAGTCTACAAGACTAATAGTCTGCTCAAACCATGGCCTCATCTAGCCTAAGACCAAAGAACTAGATGGTGCCTGGCTACCACTACTGACCATTCTGATCAGGGCCACAATAGATGGTTCCTGATAGAATGGGAGAAGGATGTGTAACAGAACTGAAGTTCTTAAAAAGTCCAGAATTATTGGACCAGTTCAGACTAGAGGACTCCTCAAGATTATCACCCTCAGGTACTCTTTAAACCTCAAACCGAAATTATCCCTTGAGTCACCTTTTAGCTAAATAACAGACTGGCTCATTAAAAAAAAAAAAAATCACTCGTGAGTAATGAGCTCTTTTAAAAAATCATCTGTTTGAAACCAAATGGTCAAAAATTACTGTAAAGCGAAGATGAGAAGGTAAGGGGGCAGGGATACTAGAGTACTAAAAATGGTACAACCAGATTAGAATGAATCACATTGTGAAAAATGTTAACCAATAAATCACTGAATAATTTGTGTAGAAATTGTTAATGGGAACCTAATTTGTGATGTAAGCTTTCACCTTAAACACAGTAAAATATTACTAAGAAAAAATTAAAAAAAAAAAAAAAGAGCTTATGTATTCTAAAGGGACTAGAAAAACTGCCTGCCGACCCAGAAAGTCATTTATGAGAAATTAGAATTCCAGACCTGCATCCCAGGTTATGTCTGAGTTTATATCAAGTGTATACTATAGAAATGTCTACTATAGGAACCACAAGTCAAAAAAATAACAGAATCAACGCTGAGATTACAGCAGAAGGAAATACAAAACTGCCCTGTAGGGACAGTTTCAGACAGGGTCTTGTAGGATTACCAGAGAGGGAAAAATCCTCAGTAAAAATTAAGCTCATAAAACAAAACAGAACAAAGCAACATATAACCTATAAGAGGAAATGAGCCACCAAGAATTGTAAGCAGATACAAAGAGGAGAGTAAGTTCTTTAACAACTGCAAATAGAATAATTTGAAAGATCATAAAATAAGTTATGTTTAAAATAATTAGATATAAAAATAGGAAAAGAAAGACTATAAAGGATTAGGCAAATTTGTAAAATAGTTCTTGGAATTAAAAACGATGGTTATCAATTCAGATTAGACAGAAAATTTGTAAACTCTAAGATGGATCTTACAAAATCACTCACAATGGGATACAGAGAGAAATTGACAGAAAATATGAAAGAGCAGGCAAGAGTCATGGAAGATACAGAATCTAATATATATTTAATACATTCAGAAGGAAAGGGAACTCATGGGAGAAAAGACAAAAAGTTACCTTTGACTATGTCTATTTTTGCACACTTCTGTATCCAATCCATCAATGAGTTCTACCTCTCTAGCTCCAAAACATTCCAAATCTGTCCACCTTTCTCCATCTCCACTGCTACCATTATACCTTCTACCACATCATGACTTTCCTTAACTACTGGCTTCTAACTGGCTTTCCTGCTTGCCAGATTCTCCAGTGGTTTCCTATCACACTCAGATCAAATCTAAACTCCTTACCATGGTTTACAAATCTTACAAGTTCTGGTCTCTGTTTATCTCTCTGACTTTTATCTCATGTCGTATTCTATCATACTTACCCCAGTCAAATCAGTCTGTCCTTGCTATACCTCAACATAAAGCCAAATTTGTTTTCACTTTGGTTTTGATTGTTGTATAGCTGAGTGAATGGTGTCATGGGGATAGATATGGAATATTGAACAAGGAACAAATTTGGAGGATTGGAATGCAGGAAATCAAGAATTCTCTTTTGGTTATGTTAAATTTGAGATGTCTATTTAAACATCAGAGATGTTGAGCTATTACAAATCCAACAGAGGTCTAATCTCTAAAATCTACAGGAAAATCCAACACCTCTACAACAAAAAGACAAATAATCCAATTAAAAAATGGGCAAAGGACATGAACAGACACTTCACCAAAGACATTCAAGCAGCTAACAGACACATGAGGAAATGCTGGCAATCACTAGCCATTAGAGAAATGCAAATCAAAACCACAATGAGATGCCATCTCACTCTGGCATTACTGGCACGAATCAAAAAAACAGAAAATAACAAATGTTGGAGAGGCTGAGGGGAGATCGGAACTCTTGTACGCTGCTGGTGGGAATGCGAAATGATAAAACCATTTTGGAAAACAATATAGTGCCTCCTTAGAAAGCTAGAGATAGACATACTGTACGATCCAGCAATCCCACTCCTAGGAATATATCCTAGAGAAATAAGAGTTGTCACACGCGTAGACATATGCACACCCATGTTCATTGCAGCATTGTTCAGAATAGCAAAAAGATGGAAACAACCTAGATGCCTATCAGCAGATGAATGGATAAACTATGGTATATACACACAGTGGAGTACTACCCAATGATAAAGAACAATGATGAATCTGTGAAGCATCTCATAACATGGATGAATCTGGAGGGCATTATGTTGAGTGAAATAAGTCAATCACAAAAGGACAAATATTGTATGACACCACTACTGTAAAAACTCATGGAAAGGTTTACACACAAAAAGAATCTTTGATGGTTACGAGGGAGGAGAGGGGTGGGGATAGAAAAACACTAAATAGTAGATAAGTGGTAACTTTGATGAAGGGTTAAGACAGTACACAATAATGGGGAAGCCAGCACAACTTGTCCAAGGAAAGGTCATGAGCTCCACAGACACATCCAAACTCCCTGAGGGACTGAATTGCTGGCGTGTGGGCTGTGGGGACCACGGTCTCAGGGAACATCTAGCTCAATTGGCATAACATAGTTTATAAAGAAAATGTTCTACATTCTACTTAGGTGAGTAGCGTCTTGGGTCTTAAAAGCCTGTGAGCGGCCATCTAAAATACTCCACTGGTCTCACCCCTTCGGGAGCAAGGGAGAATGAAGAAAACAAGATACAAGGGAAAGATTAGTCCAGAGGACTAATGGACCACAACTACCATGGCCTCCACCAGACTGAGTCCAGTACAACTAGATGGTGCCCAGCTAACACCACTGACTGCCCTAACAGGGATCACAATCAAGGGTCCTGAACAGAGCTGGAGAAAATTGTAGAACAAAATTCTAACTCACAAAAAAAGACCAGACTTAACTGGCGTAACAGAGACTGGAGAAACCTTCAGAGAGTATGGCCCCTGGACACCCTTTTAGCTCAGTAATGAAGTCACTCCCGAGGTTCACCTTTCAGCCAAAGATTAGACAGGCCAAAAAAAAAAAATTGAGACTAAAGGGGCACACCAGCCCAGGGGCAAGGAATAGAAGGCAGGAGGGGACAGGAAAGCTGTTAATAGGGAAC